GGACAGAATCGGCTCTAACAAGTTCGCTACCATCGACGTCTCCGAATTCGACGGTTCGTGGAGACGTACTCTTCAGAGGACACCGTGTTGTGATCCCTGAATCGTGTCAAAACGAGGTGTTAAAGGAGTTACACGAAGGACATTTCGGAGCAAAAAAAGATGAAAGAACTTGCAAGACGACACGTATGGTGGAAAACCATCGACAGAGATATCGACACGAAGGCCAGCATATGTGAAATATGCCAGATGCACGCGAAGAATCCTGCGAGGTCGTACCACAGCTGGGAACCGGCGGAACACCCATTCGATCGAATACATCTCGACTTTGCGGGGCCAGTAGAAGGTCAGTACCTGTTGTTACTCGTTGATGCCAACTCAAAATGGTTAGAGATATCTGCAGCAAAAACGAAAACAACGGCAGACACGCTCAAGATGCTCCGCGAGGTATTCGCCAGGTTTGGACTCCCAAAAGTGATAGTATCGGACAACGACCCAACGTTCACATCGCTGTCATTCGAGACCTTCTGTCAAGAAAACGGAATCGTTCACAAAACTTCCCCACCATTCCACCCAGCTTCGAATGGTCAGATAGAAAGATACGTTCAGACAACAAAGAAAGCACTCCAAAAGTTAAAGGCCGAGGGGAGCGGAGAAAATCTCCATAGCATGATCCAGCGATTTCTGTTCCGGCAAAGACTGGTCAGCAGCGCCGCGACAAATCGCAGTCCGGCAGAGCTCATGATCGGGCGCCAACTCAGATCCAAATTGGACGTGATCAGTGAAGTGCCCGAAATCCCGAGGATCAGAGTGACCCCACAGTACCCGAATGGCAAGTTCGCCGTGGGCGATGAAGTCATCGCAAGGAACTACAGCGGATCTGCAAAATGGGCAACAGGAACGGTGATCAGAATCCTCGGAAGGAATACCTGCGTTGTAAAGGTACAGCGCGGAGAATGGAAGAGACATTTCAATCAGCTAAGAAAAAGACAAATCGCATCGCCTCCAAAGGGAACACTACAAGAAGAGCAAGACGCCGAAGGAGACGAAATTCCGTGGTACATATCGTCAGATTGCGAGCAGAATGGTAACGAGTCGCTCGTCTCTGAGGATTCGTTTCTATCGGCAGACAACTCAGCATCGGAACTCGAGACGTCCAGTATGCAGCAGCCAGCCATAGTAGGCGCATCGCCGCAGATAGTTAGTAATAGCACGCCGAGTTCCGAGGTAGTAATCGATGAGATGAGTGAAACAGTTGGCGATGAAGCTGTCGAGAGGTTGCGAGACCGTTCAGAAGAGCAAGTGTCGACTGACGCCACTAGACGTAGTTCAGCTAGAGTCAGAAGGGAACCCAATCGATATGGAGAATGGATAAATTAAGTGGCGCGTTGGAGATAAGAGAGGGAGAGTTGTTAGGCCCTATTCAATGTTCTGGCATGTTCACGCGCGCTTAAGAGGTACCCTAGATACGAGCTATTGGAATGGCGTTTCTGGAAAAGCAATACATCGCGGTCTGCTTCAATAAAAGAGATCGAGTATGCTGATTCACTCCACAGCACTCGGACGTTTTCATTTCGCTCCGCTAAGACCTAACACTGGGGGTGCCCGAATAATTATGTACGATAACCAACAGTCTTGTGAAGCCACGCGCGAACGGTTGGTCTGGCTCCATGATGGCAGAATCGCCTTTCGCTACGCGCTGACGGCAACGCTCGGATCGAGCTAAGGATTTTCCTCTCAGAAGTTTCGCACCGGATATCCAAAGTCCCTGACGTAACCGGAGCCCTTTCCCCTCTCGGCGAGTTTTTCTCTAAGTAGAAGATTTTTCCAAACACAACAGCCCTGATTGCTTGCCCTTGCTCACGGACAGGTGTAGCAATTTCGCTGTCGGCTTCATCCGTACATCCCACCGAGGAATTCGTGAAGCCCGTCGACTGCAGTGGAATCGAATCGCTCTTATGCGTAGTGACTGGTTCCCCAGTTGCTGCGCGTTCCAAGTGACACCGTGCTTCCGTTGTGGGGTTCGTTCTGTAAGGTGGTGAAGAGAGTTAATGATTCACCGCTTTCTCCTGAGGATACATTCCACTCGGGCACCGCTCCGAGTCCGATCAGCTGTGAGTATCGGTCAATTCAAGCTTCAGACCCAAGAACCCACCCTGGAGCTGACGAATCAGATTCTGCGTGAAGCCGACCGGAATCGCTGTTGGAGTTTCCCTCTTTGACGCGATACCTGTGTTCGAATATTCCGATTCATTGAACGATCTTCGGGGACATTCTGATCGCGTGATACACGATACAACTCTTTTGCATAGCGGAAGCGCGAGGAACGCGTATTCGCACATCTCGTTTTAGTCAAGTCTTACTTAGTCTGTACACCGTGGCGTCTACAGGATTCTTCTTGGGGAAGGGGGGGGCAGATCGGGTCCTCGCATGGGGCTGATTTCCAGCATGGCGACCCGCTCCTATACCTTAGTATTAGGAACTCTCAATATGGGAGGGGGCTATGGCCCCCTAGCCCCCCTCTGCGGACGCGCCTGTCTCTAAATAAACGATGCGAGCATGATTCGGTGCTTACTGCGTTTCGGGAGGGAGGCAACCAGCATGGGTCCGAGCCTAAGGTGTGAGCAACCCCTATCTGATCACAGGCATCGGCATCTCAGAGAGCCCGCGTAATCGAAGAGGGAGAAATCATACTCATGAGATGATGTCCATTCGTGGGGTCGGAATCGATGACCCTTCGGAGTTGAGCCTGAGTCATTTGTGCACCTTACGGGCTCCGATCGAGAAAGAGCGTGAAATGAGTCGGCTCGGCGTGATCTCTCTCGGGGTGAGCTCGAGTTGGAGTCGATGGCGAGCAGCCCCTAGCCCGGAGCACGAGCGGTTCTCGAGTTGGGTGCCGGATCTTATTGACGGGATTCAAACCTTGGCGCGGTTTCCGCCGGAGGAGAGAGGGCGACGGATTCAGAACATATAACACGACTCCGTCAGCCAACCAGAGAAGTTACTCGCTCGGTTCTCATGAACAAGCTGCATCGACCAGAGTTGGTCAGATCGCGGCGATCCCTTGTGCATCCTAGATATTGTTCGTGAAGTAGTCCGTCGAGTCAGGGAGCGACGGACGGAAGCGGAAACTCAAGTGCCAAACAGTGACAGTTTTCCGAGTTCGATCATGTGGACGAATTCCCGCAGCAGGAAACAGTCTCGCGGTCGTAGAGGCGGTCAGCGTGCCAAAGGTCTGTAGAAGAGATCGGTCATTCGTGATTGAATCGGGGAGCTCCCCATCTATCCAGTTCACAGAGCACATAGACTCAGTTTCAATTCGAGGTGCCTGGCCGGTCTCAGTCGAACGGCTGCTGTCTTTCGGCTCTCCCTCTCCGACACTCTGAAAAAGCATAAGTCGTCTCTATTCAGAAGAAGCTTCTGTTCGATTCGGATGTCAGCAGCGAGGGAGGGGTTCGAAATTACTGACTTACTCCGTTGGAGTCATTCCCGGAGAAAGCTAAGACCTGCTGGTGTTGGGTGGAAAGCGCGCGATCCCCGATCGTACGATGCCGGAAATCAGCTGTTCGCGTGAGCTGTCGGAGTATAAGAGGAATGCTGAGACGGGCTTCTGCTTGGAGCCTTTCATCGATTTCTTGCACGGGACGCTATGAAATGAATCCCGTCGGAGGCAATAGCCGATTACTCGTCATAAAGTCCTCCGATACTGACTGGATAGTCAGTTTTCATCCGTAAGAGAGTTATCCCCTGTTAGCAGGGTTCTCGAGCGAATCTGCCTAGTTTTCTTTCTCCCGGAGGGCTCAGAAGATTTCGTCTGCGTGAACGCAGCAGATGTCGCGGAGATGGAGCGACGGCCATCGATTTTTTGTGGGACAGCGGTAAGCGAATTCGAGACTATGAGTGGCCCTCTGATCCAAACAGAGCTCAGAGTATCGTGCTGTTTTGGCGCCTTCGCTCTTGCGTCTGGAGAGATAATTTTCGGACGGGAGGAATGGAATCAGATCGGAGCGAAAACTAGAAAGTGAAGCTCCCAATGACCGGTCGCGCCCTGTACTTCGAGAAAGACCGCAGCGGTGCAGACTACGGGATGCGATTTCCAGCGAGCAACGCTGAAACTCTGGTTCCTTCGACGTTTGTCTGAGGATTGCTGGTTTGAAGCTCCCCGAAGAGCTCAAATGTATCGGGCAACGAGGAGCGATCTTCTCTCAACTCGAGGTATCAGTGGCAGTTCTACAGCGAGGTTCCAATCCTCCGTTCTCGAATCCCCAAGCCTTCAGAATAAATGTCAAGATCGGTCTCCGGACGCTCTAGTGCTCAGTGTCCATCTTCCGTGTGGCTAGCTTTCCGTTTCGGGCTGTGTGAAGATGCGACGATTCATCGGAAAGCGCGTCGGATCGCTTCACCCTCCCGCAGGAGCCAGCGTGGCATGGAAGTGCTTGAGGCCTTTTGGCCCCATTTCTGCTCTTCTGCTACTTGCTTTCTCACCGCCTTTCGGAGCGGGTATCAGGCATGCACACTGTCACTTTCGGAAGTTCACGCACGATGCTGTGTTTCTAGCCGCCCGAGTGTACTCATGGAAGGACGGGTTTCCCAGCTCTGCCAGTGATCGACTTAAACTATTGGGTCGAGTATGACATGTGGAACTTCCTACACGAAGCTCGCAAAGCTTACTTAGGGGCATCTTATAACGGTACAGTCTCCCGGAGGGATTAATTTTGAGATCGCAGGGAGATACCCCGAATGATAAGAAGGTTCTGATACTTATCATTAGTGTTGTTCCGATGCGGCTTCGTAGACAAATCCTTATTCCAGCCGGAGCGTTGCGGAGTTAAATAAATTGTTTTCTCATTTTCGTGCGTTCAGGTTCTGACATCCGTTCGTCGATGAGTGGACACCCGGAGGAGACCGCAGATGAGATTCGTGCTGAAGAAAACGCTGAGCCCACTCGACACAAGGAACACACACCGGCCATCAAAGAGTCCAGCATGCTCGGCTTGGATGAGGATGATGATAACAGCAGCCCAGTGAGAGTTGTCGTAGACTCCTACGACGATGACGAGCCCACAGCGTGAGTTATTCGAGATATAGTATTTTGCTCCTCCCGAATTCGTTCTAGAGAAAGTTGAGCGAAAATATTCTTCTAGCTAACGATTTTATGCCGGCCATCGACAGAAACATGCTTTCGTGAAACCTCTTCGATCTGAGTAATCTGAATTCTCGGAGATTTTGAGTAGGTCTCTGGGAGCGGAAAAGACACGAATAACCATAACATCCGGTGCGATCGGTGGAGACTTACGCGATTCTTCCGTTGTCAGCATTTTGAACGCTATCATCACGCGCGATGATCAGATCACACGATGTCGAGAGCGTCTTCGTAGAGCTCATGGCTCGACGTTTTATCAATCACCATCACGCATCATACCGGAGATATTTCGGTCTCAATATACGAGTCGCGTCTAGCGCATAAAGGATACTGCTGTCAACGATTCCCTTCTTCTCGCCGAATTCCCTCCGGAAATGAACGATGGGACACCCGTACAAGTTCCACAAATTCTGTGACGAGTCCACGGAACGGGTCAGAAGAATCATACTTCCCAGCTCTCATGTTGCTATCGCTTCAAACTTCATCGCCCCCGAGAGTAGCTCGGATAATTAATAATTATCAGAAGATCACTTGATAATTATTAATTATCAATTGCCCATTCCGACGACAGCGGATTCGGATGTCGATTTTCGGTCGAGACTGTGACGAACCGGAGCTTTTATTCCCGGCACTCTCGCATGGAAGCGCTCGGTTCGGATGAGCTCGAAGTGCGCGATCCCTCGACGATGGCAGCTAGATCGTCCGTTGTCGAGAAGAATCGAAGCTCGTGATCGGGTATTTGAGCCATTGACAATTCATACTGCAGATACGCCCTCGGGATTCTGTGGAAGTGTTCCATCTACGAGGAGCCGAAACGGAAAAATGAAACGTCCGTAATCAGCGAAACCTGAGTCCAAGGCCAGGGAGACTGGTCGCCGACCGCCTAATTTTTACCGCGAGCATGACCTTGAACGTGGGAACCAAATTTGATCTGAGGATTTCTCACGCGATCGATTGATTCTCTCGACTCGAGCCTACGACCGTCCCGTGATCGGGAGAGATCGGGATCCCGCTCGCATCGGTCTTTACGGCGCTTATCGATCCTTCAACGATGTTCCCGAGCATCAGCTGCGGGATTTCCGTTGTATGACTGATTATATATATATGGACAACTTTCCAGTCTCTCAGCAAGACATATTTTGTTGCTGATTCCTGTGAAAATCATACATAAGACAAGTCGGGCCGCCCTCTTACCTGATGAGCTGCTTGCGTATTCGTTCTCTCTCCGGCCGTGAACGAACATGATCTTCAAATGACTGCGGCGATCTCTACTCCCGTACCCTTGTGAGCGGCGAGATGTGGTTTTTCTTGGTGCCGATCTTCCTTGTTTGACTAGCCATCGCATTCAGTATGTCGCTCCGGAAGTCCGTGCTCCGAAGAACCTTCCTCGATGGGTAAAGATCCGAAAAATTTGACGGGGAGATCTCGTACGGCTTCATCACGGAAACGTCAGCGATACCATGCGATTGACTTCGATGTCAACCGATTGAGCCCCTCTTCCCATCAGCGAGGACCTGTGATGATCTAATGTTACGAATTTCTCTTCCAGTGGCTCGAGTCGGGCCACCTTCACCCTGGACGGCAGCGATGACGAAGGAAACGCGACGGAAAGCTCTCTGCAGAATACACTGTCTGTGGACTCGATGCGTGTCAAGTTCACCGGGAGCTCGAAACGCCAATTCAGGTCAGTGAGGATCAGCCCATTGAAATGAAACCCCCGTGACGAAGTAGGAACTGTTGAGATGACCCACGTAGAGCGGTTCGCAGAGTTCTGATCCCACCGGCTAGGCCGACGAGCTGTGAGAGAAAAATGGTTAAGGACGGAAGTGCCCCCATACGGTCATCGTCATTCTCTGCAGCGTATTCAGAACATAGGGAGCGAAGATTTTCCAACGATCGTTCCGATTCCCATGTGGGTGCTTGGAAGGATCACCCCCTAGGCGGAATGATTCTGCCCGTGCAGCAAACGCTCCGGGAGACTGTGATTCTGAGCACAGAATCTCAAAGGCTTCGGTCCGCGCGAAAAATCGAGAGCTCCCCTCGAACTTCTTAGGGGTCCCATGCAGAATGGATCCGGGTATTTGATTTCCATCCCGACCGCAAGAATCGACAGGGGAAACCTGAGAAAACGAAAGACCGCCCCCTTTCTCCTGGTTTTGCCGCGTTCATATATTTCCTTTTGGGAGGGGGGGCGCGACTTGACGAACAACGACATCGGGTCAAAATCGTCTGAAAAACGAGCTTGCGGACTCGCCCGTGGAGCTTTGAGAGGGAGAAGATACCGCAAGTAAGGGAGACAAGCTCAAGAAGAAAAATAAACCAGAGGAGAGTCGGCCGAGTACTCGCTCGCGCGTGGTAGCGCGCTTTCCGATGGCAACCAACCGATTCGCGGAGAGGGGGAGACGACAGCCCGAGACGAGATAAAGACGTCTACTCAAAAGTCATGCATCTGCGTAGCATGCCATCCTGAAACTGCAGTTGGTTCTCGACTCTTAGAGCGCAAGCATGCGGCCCAAGTACGTCATCGACTTTAGAATACAGTGATCCGCAGAAGGACTTCTGTCCAGGAGAATCCCGTGTGAAGAGTTGCCGCCATCAACAGAGAGCAGCAGCCGCCACAGCAGCCGCAGCAGTACCACTCTCAGTCCTCTGCTTGGCAAAATCGATCAACTCGTGTTTTTTTGTTGACAGTGAAGGACGATTTCCGTCCTGTTCCGTAAGGATTGGACTTTCAGCTGATTGCTCGCTGGATAATCGGGTGCTCAGCGGCTGTTCAGAGATGCGAGCGCTCCTTTGCGCGAAACATGGCTTCGACGGACTCGGAACTCAGGGCGCTTTCCTCCTCTCTGGTCACACCACTTCTCTCCCGCGTTCTATTCATTGCCCTCTATCCTGTTGATTTGGAGTGTGACTCATGAGTGAAATTCCGCGCAAGTTCGGGTGGCTCCGCGCAGTGAATCGATTGCGATAACTGCGCCGATGAGTCGCTCGAAAGTCTGCTCAGACTTTTCTCGGAAGAGGCGTCGCGGAATAGTGTCGGTCGCCTTGCGCGGACCCTTCCGCTCATCCGAGCTCGATGCGTCTCCTGCTTTCTCTTTTGAGTCGATCTAAACCATTGCCACCAATCGACGGTCTCAAACTAAACTGCGACCGTCTCCGGTTCGTCTTATATCTCAAGTTCGGAATTCCGGTTCTAGATTTAGGAAGCCCGGTTTAGATTCGGATCCGTGTCTCCTTACGATTTGTGTGGTCCGCGATAATGAGGGATTCAGCTGCGAACGGATTTTTAGAGGAAAGAGAATCTTCCGCCCAGTCCGATTATCGTGCAGACTTCACGCTCAGCAGAAATGATTGGGTGCCGTAGATCGAGTACGTCGAGAAACAGGAAGGATTATTTCCTCTCGAGACTTTTGATAAATAATTGTTGCCTCCGACACTTTACAACCTCGCTAATACGCGACTCCTCTGTGCCTGACGAGAAACAGACCCAGCGGAGCCATGACAGGAATCGATGAAATATTCAGAATCGTAAAAGAATCGATACCCGAAAAGTGCGCCTTTCCGTGGAAGCTGTCCGGCTCTAAATATTTTTTTCCATTTCACAGACAATCCATGTCCGGCGTCCATCTCAGTCAAGATGCCGAAGCGAAAGGTTCGACTAAGGACTTCATTGTCGCGACACCCGAGGAGTTCGTTAGCCGTTTTGGAGGAACACACGTTATCAACAATATCTTGATAGCAAATAACGGAATCGCAGCAGTCAAATGCATGAGGTCGATACGAAGATGGTCGTACGAAATGTTCAATAATGACCGAGCGATCCGTTTCGTCGTGATGGTCACGCCAGAAGATCTGGCAGCCAACGCGGGTGAGTTTCTAGCTTCCTTTGTATACAACGTAGAACGACTTGCGGACGGAATGATTGAGCAAACGCTCCTTCGAGAGGCAACGATTCATTTTCCCCCATTGAGCGCCGAGGTTTACCACGCGAAGTCGTGTTGCGTTGTAACAACCTCAAAGGAAGGATACATGTTTAGGGAAATATTGATGCGCATATCTCGTGCCGTCGAGTCTCTCTTATCAAACGTCCTTGGCTATCAAGGATGCTCTGCTTTCTAAAAATAAGCGAACTACTCCAAAGACATCCACGGTCCCCGTGAGGGAGATTGGTTTCCTTTTTGAGCCTTCCCGAAGCAACTTGTCCACCGTCTCGATCTGACGTCATTGATATCTTAAATATTCCAGAATACATTAAATTGGCCGATCATTGCGTCCCTGTACCCGGAGGCTCTAACAACAACAACTATGCGAACGTGGACCTCATTCTCGACATTGCGAAACGGGTCGGCGCACAAGCGGTGTGGGCGGGTTGGGGTCACGCTTCGGAGAATCCGCGCCTGCCGGAGTTGCTTTCGAAAAACGGGATCGTTTTCATGGGACCCCCAGAGAAGGCCATGTGGGCTCTTGGTGACAAGATCGCTAGTAGCATCGTAGCGCAAACGGCTGATATACCAACTTTGCCGTGGAGCGGCGCCGAATTGAAAGCTGACTGGAACGGCAGCGACGCGAAGAAACTCCGAATAAAACCAGACCTCTACAAGAAAGGTTGCGTCGGTGAGTATCGTGCGGAGCTGTCCTCTCGAGCTTGTGCAAATCGTCGAGCTTTGATACTACTCGCGTGGGAACGCTAGCCCGAATCGAATACAAATAAGCTTTCTTTCACCAGGCTCTGTGGACTCCGGGCTCGAGGCAGCTCAGAAGATCGGCTTCCCAGTCATGATCAAAGCCTCGGAAGGCGGCGGTGGCAAGGGGATTCGGAAATGTGAACGCGTCGAGGATTTCCCCTCGTGTTTCCGTCAGGTACAATCGGAAGTTCCGGGCTCCCCGATCTTCATCATGAAGCTCGCTGTCAACTCAAGGCATCTGGAAGTTCAGTTGTTGGCCGACAACTACGGAAATGCGATTTCACTCTTTGGGCGAGATTGTTCCATCCAGAGAAGGCATCAGAAGATCATTGAGGAAGCTCCGTGCGTCATCGCAGACCACATGGTATTCGACCAGATGGAAAAAGCCGCCGTTCGATTGGCTAAAATGGTCGGCTACGTATCGGCCGGAACCGTTGAATACCTCTACAACGAGGACGGGAACTTCTATTTCCTGGAGTTGAATCCTCGACTCCAGGTAGAGCATCCTTGCACTGAGATGATCAGTGATGTCAATCTCCCCGCGTGCCAAATGCAAATTGCAATGGGGGTGCCCCTCTCCCGGATAAAAGATATCCGCTTGCTGTACGGCGAGAGCCCTTACGGTTCCAACTTGATCGACTTCGATCACCCTTACCACAAACCTCCGCCGTGGGGCCACGTGATCGCCGCAAGGATAACATCCGAGAATCCTGATGAAGGTTTCAAGCCGTCGGCGGGCGGTCTGCAAGAGCTCAACTTCCGGAGCAACAAGAACGTTTGGGGCTACTTTTCGGTGGGGGCGTCCGGAGGACTCCATGAATTCGCAGATTCCCAGTTCGGTCATTGCTTCTCGTGGGGAGAGGATCGCGAAGAAGCTCGAGAGTGAGTCGTCTAAATTATTTCTGATACCTTTATTCATTCGTAACCTCAACTCAGTGTGCTTGTGGCGTGTTCCGGAAGTGATTTCCTCGGACCTGCTCCTCTGGCGCTCCAGAAACAGTCGCGAAGTTCATAGCTCATTGATGTGAAACTTTTTCCAGGAATCTCGTAATCGCTCTCAAGGAACTGTCGATCAGAGGAGATTTTAGAACAACAGTCGAGTACTTGATCACCCTGCTTGAGACGCAAGCTTTCCGGGAGAACACGTTCGATACCGGGTGGTTGGATCAACTGATCGCTGAGCAAGTGAAGTCCGAGAAGCCGGACATCATGCTGTCCGTGACCAGCGGCGCCCTACACGTCGCTTACAAGACGATACGCGAAAATTTCTCGGGATTCCAGGCGGCTCTGGAAAAAGGTCAAATACTGCCGATGTCAACGCTCAACAACACCTACGCCGTGGAGCTTGTAGCCGACGGTGTGAAATACTCGGTGGAAGTCTCGCAAAGCGGGCCGAACACCTACTTTCTGGTCATGAACGGAACCCACAGGGAGCTCGAAGCTCACCAACTCTCCGACGACCGGCTCCTGATCAGCATCGACGGGTCGTCGTACACTACCTACATGAAAGAGGAAGTCGATCGTTATCGGGTAGTTATCGGCAACCAGACATGTGTTTTCGAGAAGGAGAAGGATCCCTCGGTGCTGAGATCGCCATCGACGGGAAAACTGCTCCAGTTCCTGGTAGAAGACGGCAGCCACGTTCTCGCCGGTCAGCCCTACGCCGAGATCGAGGTGATGAAGATGGTCATGACGTTGACTGTTGAAGAAACCGGCACAGTGTTCATCATGAAGAGACCCGGCGCAGTGCTTGAAGCCGGCGCTGAACTGGCGCGACTCGAATTGGATGATCCGACCCGGGTGAACAAGGCTCAGCCCTACTCCAAGGGCTTCCCAGCGATCAAATCGGAGCGTCATAAATACGATAAGCTCAATCAACAGTTCGCAAGCGCCAAATGCGACCTGGAGAATATCCTCGACGGCTACGTCATACCCGAACCGTATCTGTCGCAGCGAGTGGAGAGGTCGCTCGAGATCTTCATGCGGACCCTACGTGATCCACAGTTGCCTCTCATGGAGCTCAAGGATATCATATCTTCGATATCGGGCCGGATTCCCCCACAAGTGGAGTCCAACATACGGGATCTGATGGAAGGTTACGACAAGAACATAACATCTGTTATGGCTCAGTTCCCTTCGCAAGGCATCGCTTCGGCGATTGACGGACATGCTGCCACGCTCCAGAAACGAAGCGATAGGGACGTTTTCTTCTTGAGAACGCAGGGCATAGTCCAGCTCGTACAGAGGTGAGTTCTGCGCCGCCTCGGATGTTTTCTCCTTGATCTCGTTCGCTTAGGTCTTTTTGCATTATTTCCATTTTTTATCCTCAGGTACCGGAACGGGATCGGCGGGCGAATGAAGCTCGTGCTGCAGGAGCTCCTGTGGAAGTACTTGAGCGTGGAGATCGATTTCCAGAATGGACAGTACGATAAGTGTGTCGCCATGCTCCGGGAAAAACACAAGGACTCCACCAAGACCATCGTCGACAAGATCTTCTCCCACTACAACGTGAACAAGAAAAACTATCTCATGATCAAACTCATCGACCATCTTTGCGGACACGAGCCCAGGCTCACAGACGAGCTCAGTGCGACGCTGAACGAGCTCACTACGCTGAGCAAGCAGGATAACGCGAGGGTCGCTCTGCGCGCTCGTCAAGTACTTATAGCGACCCACCAGCCCAGTTACGATAAGCGGCACAATCAGATGGAATCGATCTTCCTTTCTGCCATCGACATGTACGGACACGACTTTCGTCCCGAAATCGTCCAGAAACTCATCATGTCCGAAACATCGATCTTCGACGTCCTCCAGGACTTCTTCTATCACTCAAATCACATAGTGAGGAAGACGGCTCTCGAGATTTATATCCGACGAGCCTACATCTCGTACAATTTGACCGGGCTGGAACATCTAGAATTGCGGAGCGGGGTCCGCGCAGCCCAGTACCAGTTTCTGCTGCCCAGCTCTCATCCGAATCGGTAAGTAAGGAACCCTTCTACGTGAATTGTACGTACTACTTAAGTGGAGAGCAAATGCAACAAGAAACTCTGATCCTCCTCGCTACGAGCTTAGACTCTTGGAGAAGTCGACCAGGGGAGCGCTTGAGAATTCCAAGAAGTCGCTGAGCGTTCGAGGGAGAATACGTCGAGAAGCCCTTGAAAGATCGATGCGGGAGTACAGAGCGGGGCTAACACGAGTTCGTTCACTCAAATACGAGTACGTCGCAACTAACATTCGTATACCTGTATTTCACATTCACCACTAGGCGGGCAGACCCGCTCCAAATAACAAAGCGGTAAGTGCTTCGAAGAGTCTGTCGACTTCTGCATCGGAGCCTGCTGCCAATCCTGCTCATTCGGTTCGCTCGCACATAGTTTTCGGTTCGTGTCCGACACCTCCGGCTACGGAGACCATTGACATTCGGAGCGGTTATGAATTGGTGAATTTCCCCGTCATAGTCTCGCCGTGGGGACGCGTGGCTAGCGTTTTACTTGGTTCCCCAGTGCATGCCCGCAAATGATGCTGAGTTTCCGCCTGCGGAATCGAACCCGCGTGGTAGAATCAATCGAATCGGAGTCGATCGACCCCGGAGGTTCGAGGGTCGGACTTTCCGGTGCCTTCTCTCCTGTAGGTCGTCTTCTAGATCAGGGAGCGAATAGAATCGATTTTCCTATTTCCTCTTCATTTACAGACTGGCCAACCTATCGGAACAGGAGGACAAGGGCACGTGGGAGGAGGCGCCCTCGCGAGATTTTGATTCCCAAAGAGTTGGAGTCATGGCAGTATTCAACACGTTCGACCAGTTCCTGGGCGAGTTCCACAACACTCTCGATCTGCTGAATTGGACATCCACGACAGAGAACAATGGAGGTGAGTGAGCTCGGGAAATCGCGACGAAGGAGCAGATTGCGCTCCGGATTGGGATTCCATGTCTTATCAGCTGAATCGTATGCGAGGTCCATGCGATGCCCTCGACGGAATCCGCTGGAACAGCATGCATGAGATGCCGATTGTCAATATTCTATGACAATCTGCGTACACGATAGTATTGGTATTCGAGAACGAGTTATGACACTCGAGTTTAAGAAGACGAATTGTGTTTTACAGCTCGCGAACGGAGCTCGGGCTCGGTTTGTGAGAGCGGAGAACCGATAGAAAAAGAATCCGAGCCAATGAACATCGTGTCCGTCGCGGTCAGGTACGAAGGCGAACCCGAATCCGACCTCAGGGAGAAGTTCTACAGGTTCTGCCAAGAACGTCGCGATGAGTTGAAGGATCGACGGATACGGCGCATAACTTTCCTCGTGCTGCAGAAGGGGAAATTCCCTCAGTACTACACGTTCAGGTAAGACGAAACCTCTCACTCGCTCCTGGGGGCGAGGGGGATCCGATCGAATCATCTTGGCTTGTCGGCCTTGGTCGGACCTACCAGATACTCAAGGTGCTCTACCTTACAGACATCGTGACGAATTCCGGGAAGATGCGATCTATCGCCATCTGGAACCGGCGCTTGCTTTCCAATTGGAAATCAACCGCTTGAGAAACTACGACCTCGAGGCTATCGCCACGGCCGCCCTGAAAATGCACCTTTATATGGGCAAAGCCAAAGTCCCTGAGGGGCAAGCCGTGACCGACTACCGCTTCTTCATCCGAGCAATCATTCGACATTCGGACCTCATAACGAAAGAGGCTTCGTACGAATACATGCAGAACGAAGGAGAACGGCTCCTGCTCGAAGCCATGGATGAGCTCGAAGTTGCGTTCACGCATCCGGACGCCAAGAAATCCGACTGCAACCACATCTTCCTGAACTTCTTACCGAAAGTCACTATGGATCCAATGAAAATCGCCGAGAACGTACGTTCCATGGTCCTGCGGTACGGTCCTAGACTTTGGAAACTTCGCGTTCTTCACGCCGAAGTGAAAATGGTCATCCGTCTGCCTGGATCCGGTGGAAAGTGCATTCCCGTGAGACTTTTTTTGGTCAATGACAGCGGTTACTTTCTCGACATCTACGTGTATAAAGAAGTCGTCGACCCCAAGATGGGCATCATGCGTTTCGAAGCATGGCCTGGCAGCAAACAAGGTCCTTTCAACGGTCTGCCGATTTCCGCACCATACGTCACTAAAGACTACCTACAACACAAACGTTTCCAAGCACAATCTAACGGCACAACGTACGTGTACGATTTTCCCGACATGTTCAGACAAGCACTACACGGACAGTGGGAGGACCACATTGACCTGCATCCCGAATTGGAGGTCCCGAATATTTTTGTTGAAGCTGTAGAGTTGGTGTTGGACAGCGAGAACGAGCTCGTCGAGATGAAGAGGCTGCCTGGGGAGAACGATGTCGGAATGGTAGCCTGGCGAATGCGTCTCTACACTCCTGAGTATCCGGAAGGCCGAGACGTGATCGTTATCGCAAACGATATCACCTACAACTTGGGAACCTTCGGACCCCAGGAAGACATCCTCTTCTTTAAGGCGTCAGAACGCGCTCGGCACTTGAACATTCCACGCTTGTACATTTCTGCCAACTCGGGAGCTCGGATCGGGCTCGCGGAGGAAATGAAGGAGCTCATCGAGCTCGCCTGGATTGACGCCGAGGATCCCGATAAGGGCTTCAAGTATTTGTACCTGACGCCAGAGAGTTACAAAAAGGTAGAGAGACAGAAGAAATCCACGCAGCTCAGAATTCGAATCCCTCGTTCATGGTGTCGTTCACGGGAATCCCGAAATCGTTCCGAAATCAATGACTGATTATTCATTATTATTATCCTCACAGGTATCCGCCCTTAACTCGGTCAATACAGAACTGATCGAGGACGATGGTGAATCGCGGTACAAGATCACGAATGTCATCGGCAAAGAGGACGGTATCGGCGTTGAGAATCTCAGCTACGCAGGGATGATAGCCGGAGAAACGTCCCGGGCCTACGACGACATTGTCACTATCTCTTTAGTCACCTGCAGAGGTATCGGTATCGGTGCATACCTCGTCCGACTAGGCCAACGGACAATCCAGCTTGAATCGTCACACATCATTCTGACCGGCGCGGGCGCTCTGAACAAGCTCCTCGGACGAGAAGTATATACATCGAACAACCAGCTCGGTGGAATCCAAATCATGTACGAGAACGGCGTGTCGCACGTAACGGTTTCCGACGACCTCGAGGGTTGCCGTACGATGCTGAGATGGCTGTCGTACATGCCGAAGTCGAAGGGTAGCGAGCTGCCGATCATGGAAAGCATCGATCCCTACGACAGAGAAGTCGTTTTCACCCCTACCAAGACCCCATATGATCCTCGCTGGTTGCTCGCGGGTCGAGAGAGCCCTAACCTTCAGGGCTTCTGGGAGGATGGATTCTTCGATCGAGGTATGTAAGCCGCTTGTGCAGCGGACATCGAGGACCCTGATCGACATCCCTGCTGAGAATGAAGCCGAACACGAGTTAAAGGTCTTTCGTTGAAATTGCAGGCAGTTTCTCGGAAATCATGGCAAATTGGGCGAAGACCGTTGTGACCGGGAGGGCCCGCCTCGGAGGCATCCCTGTCGGAGTGATTGCCGTCGAGACCCGCACAGTCGAGATAGCTTACCCGGCAGATCCGGCGAATCTCGACTCGGAGGCGAAGATCATTTCACAAGCCGGACAGGTGTGGTTCCCGGATTCGGCGTACAAGACCGCTCAGGCCATAAATGATTTCAACCACGAGGGTCTGCCTCTCATCATATTTGCCAACTGGCGTGGATTCTCCGGCGGCATGAAAGACATGTACGACCAGGTTCTGAAATTCGGAGCCTTCATCGTTGATGCGCTCCGAAAATACAAACAGCCTGTGCTGGTGTACATCCCTCCGTTCGGTGAGCTCCGAGGTGGGGCGTGGGCTGTTGTGGATGCCACGATCAATCCATGCCACATGGAGATGTATGCGGATCCTGAATCTCGCGGAGGTGTCCTGGAACCTGAGGGCACGGTAGAAATTCGTTTCCGGAAGAAGGATCGCGTCAAGATGATGCACCGCATCGACACACAATGCTGCGAGCTGCTCCAGAAAATTGCTTCATCCGAGGGCGAGGAACGCGCCTCATTCGAAAAACAACTGCGCGTGCGGGAGGAGCAGTTGGACCCGATATACCTTCAGGCGGCGTTGACTTACGCCGATCTCCACGATACCCCCGTCCGGATGATGGAGAAAAACGTCATTCGAGACATCGTGCAGTGGTCCAAATCTCGACAAGTGTTCTACTGGCGAATGAGGCGTCTGCTTCTACAGGATGAAATGAAAAAAGCGATCCTGTCGGCGAAGGTGCACCTGAAAGAAGCCGAACTCGAATCCACGTTCAGACGCTGGTTCTTGGAGTCTCAGGGCGCAGTGAACAACTACTTGTGGGACAATGACGAGGTTGTCACGAAGTGGCTCCTCGAACAGTTATACCCCACGGATCAGAATTCGAGCCTCGTCCTTGACAACATACAAAGCATAAAGAACGACGGCGTGCTGCCCGATCTGAAGAAGCTCGTTGACGCCAACCCTCAGAAGCTGATGGAATGCACCGCTTACATGATGAGCCGATTGAAGGTTCAAGAAGCCCTTGATCTGATATCCGCTTTCAACAAGAAGCTGGCCGCCAGTGAAAGCAGCTCCGGCGATGACAGTCCGACAGAAACATAATATATTTTACTCTAGGTACCAAATTATAAGCCCCGACAGAGAGTAATACACTATTTTTGATGGTTCATAAGAGGTTTCCGCCACGCAATACGACAGATTGTATCATACTTGACAAGGGACCATTTACAGGGGAGAGACCTTCGTAATGAACCACCCATGTTAAAAAGTTCGTCGAAGCTATAATGAAACCCAATGTTTTTTTGTGTAGAAAGGCTTTTTCTTATCACTTGTAGTTTTCGGGCTCCAGCGCTCTGGGACCGAGGTCGATCGCGAACATCAATTTGAATAAGCCGTCGAATTTCGATGCTATTCCCATATGCGCGTCCCTTAATTCGATTGCTCTCTTTGGACTTGTCTCCGTTTGGAAGCATTGAAGGGTATTCTAGTTCTCGACATGGCAGTAACGGGACACTCGGTGACTCCAAAGTCGGAGTTCATGATCAAGGAGACAAGGGTTTGAGGCTGAGTTATCAGAATCAATGCCTAGTACGGCTGTTTGAGGTCAGGAAATCGAGGTTGCGTAGAAGCTTCTCCGGAAGTTCCAATCCGCACACCATTCCCCGCGGTCGGACAATTTCAATTTCGGATCGTGTTCGGGGCGCGAGGAGAAAAACTTTCTCCATGCACCTGCACGCTGTCGATATTCATCATTCAAGACGGCTCGCCTGAAGCGTGTCAGCTCCTTCGGGGGAAGTCTGGACATCCGCGGTACGTTTTTCGGAACGGCATTACGTCATCTGCCGTCTCATCAGTATTCGTCTCCCCACCCGATGCTTGGCCCACACTGCATCATGCCAATAGAAGGGTATGGGCTTTTGTTCTCGACAATTGTGAGGTCGGACCGTATAGTTCGGGATCTAGCCGTCTTGCTCGTGGCTAGTGTTGCTCGACCTCGTCGGGCGGCTGCCTGGACCTTGGACTGGGGTCGGTCTGTCTAAGCCATGGTTCCGGCTCCTCTTTTGACTTTCTCGGCACCCATTGAGGTAGCCGCTGCCTCTCCACCACGCCATGATGTGGGTCTGATTCCAGTGGAATCTTCGGAGATGTCGTGTCGGCATATGGTTCGGGGGTGTTTTGAAACCTCTCCGGAAAGAATGTCGAACTCCTCCTGCTGAGCAGCATCTTCTGGAGGCTCTCGGGGACTGCCCTTCCCATGAGTGTGACCTTCGCTGCGAGAAGTATTGATCGCCTGCTGCCGCCCGGAGTCCTCCTCCCTGAATCGCGCGAGCGATAAAGCGCGAATCTGTCAGAATCGATAGACGTGTTGAATCCGCTGGCCCTCCGATTGAAAATCTAATTTAAGATGCGCAGAGAAGTCCGTCAGTTTGCGTTCCTTTGACAGTTCGGTTCAGAGCGACGATGGTCAGTGACCGCTAGCTCACCCCCTCTCCAGAGCAGCTTCCATTCATCCATTCATTGCGGCTACCGGGGCCACCGCGAACGTCGGCGGCGCGAGGTTCCCGAGGTTTCCGTCCACGTCGAATACAACGGTGAACCCAGACGATATCTGAGCAGATATCCTAGTTTCGGGGTCCCGTAGTTTCTGAGAGCGCCACTAATTGGCGGGTCTTCCGACTAGAGAGTTCGATGGTGTCGACCGGTTCCTTCACGGTTCTCGATGAAAGTGGCGCATCAGTGCTACCTATTCTGGATCCTCGGGGTGAGTGTCGGATACGAATTGTCCCCTCAGAAATACCGCGCTCTTTTGGAAGCGAAGTCTCGAATTAGCCTTGGATCGCTCGTGGTCGAGATGGCCGCAAGCGGATCGAATCCGAGCTGTAGTGGCCTCCGGAGGAAGGCGCCTCTGCTCGAATTTCGGCTGGAAGTTCGGAGCAATACCTCAAAATTGTGAGGATAAACGTTTATCCCGCGAAGCGAGAAACTCGTCGCGCTCTACAATGCTGACTCGACGAGTTTCGTGAGTTAGCGGACAGGAGAGACTAATGTGAGGAAGAATCGTTGATCCTTCAGTGCTGGAAGAGTTCCAATTCAGGGTCAACGCCGAAAATTATTGGAAGAATTTCCGAAAGCTGTCATTCGTGGCGATGAAGAGTCTTGAGCGAGAGACTTCTCATCAGTGTTGGTCAGCTGTAAGTGGAAACGACGCGACGCCGACGCGTAGACGACACTGCGGCTTGCCTCTGAGCAATGTGGGTCACTCAAGTTTTCATCCATCCGTCGTGCGTGACTTGTCTGTTCAGTTTCGCATTCAATTTCCTCCAACTCGACCGGGAGTCGGTAGAAGAGGGAAAATTCCTGGCCAATGGAACAAGTCCCCACGTCCATTCTTCCATAACCCATCCAGCCAGTCATAGTTCATGTCGGTGAACAACATAGGGGGTTCCTCGGCAAACATCCGCTCCCGTCTATACCGCCGTCGCTACGGCGGAGAAATCGTTGAAGAGAATTCAGGCCCGGTGCAGAGATCGTCTAGACATCTAGACCAGGGGTGTCTTAAGTCTGGCGGGCCACATCTGAGAGACAGCTCAGCATTAGTCGCGGGCCACGGGAGAACTACTCGAGCTGGTGGACGACGACACACAGACGAAACTCTCTCTGTGACGACGCTCCTCTAGGCTCCCGATCAAGTGTATTATCTCAAGATCAACTATATGTATACATATATTCCCTCCCTCGGACGCGGTAAGCTTGCAGAATTAGACCGGTGCGAGCTCAATGTTCCTGGGCTTCGTTCGGAGGATGCGCTCGGAGAGCTCCCTCGTCAAGAGACGCATCAGCAACGATCCGAGAACTGAATCCTCGATCTGTGGGAGAGAAAAAGCATGGCTTTGAGATAAGCATGGTTTGCCTATCTCTATCCGGGCGACTTTGTTCCATGAAGGTTTCAGCTCATGGCATGAATCCTAGTTCCTTCTCAGGAATTGTGCGAGGGTTCAGTACCAGATGCCCGACTCCCAGATGCTTCCAGACTCCCAGAGATAAGAAGACTCTCACTCGGCGGGACGGTACCTCTGGGACTCGGGCATCTGGGGCTACACCTCTGCGAGTGTGCTCGGATTGGATAGAGGGGCGTCTGACTCGACCGCTCGGTTCGACGCATGCCCATAGGGAATTCCATTCTCAATCTCCTCATGACACGACGAGAGTGGAGTTGGCACCCGGGATGGTGCTTCCACCTCTATTGCGAGACGATTGAGACGAATCATTCCATTTTCCGGACTGGGTTCCAGGTATGAGACGAAGCCCTCCAAGGAATGTCTATTTGAAGACTTCGAGTGGTCCTACGGAAACTCATGGCCCTCTGACTGAGGTAAGAAATCGTTTGAAATCGCTTGTTCCGCCTCTCGAATGAGCGAGCCCCGAAAGATTCCAAATTTCCAGGGCCCCCGTCTTCCGACCCCTCCGATGAGCAGCCCAGAGTCGTCGTCGCCCCCTCCCCCTCTCCTGTCACGGGGTCGATCCACTAATGTCTCTTCGCCAGACATAATCCCCCAAGAAGTTCTTCAGGGAATTTCGAAAATCGCCCTGGTCAAAAACTTCAACAGGCGGCACATTGAGAATGAGATCAAAGAAAGGCGGCAATCGGAACTCCTTGCCGAGAAGACTCCACAAAATGACACCAAAGTACATACATCGTCTCCGGAGGACGAGGAGCGTCTTATTCTAGATGCCAACAAAAAGTAAGTTCATTGCTCGTCCCCGAAGAGAGCGATGATTCTGGCGATATTATCGGAACCTTGCGTATCATCGTACTGACTATGAGTGAATAACGATTATCTCTCGGGAAGTGGGCGAATCTCGCAGCTCGATGAAGTGGATGAGTACCAAAAACGAATCGAGCAAGAGAATTCCCAACGGAAACTACTTCTTGCCCAAGCTGTTCTCGACAGAGAGCGGAGGACGGTGGCAGAAGTTCATCGCTTGGAAAGAATCAAAACGGAACTCGCGAGACTCGATCACATCCTTAGCTCTGACGTGGCCATACTCAGACGAGAGATCGAAGCTGCAAGCGTCGAATTCAACGAGGCTGAGTGAGTCACGCATCCTTCTGGACGTATAAACTAGGTTCCTTGAACTGATGAACGCGCAATTCAAACAAACTCACTAAAACATTGATCTTCTCGCAGGAAGAATTATGTCCGAATCGAGAAGGAGTTCATCGAGGCCAAATTCTTATTGCATCAGAAGCTGGATCGCAAAGAGAAGCTCACGGAGCACCTCTGTTTCATAATCGAAGAGAACGAGAGTAGAAAAGCGAAGAAACTGCAGCAGCTCATGGATGAACTCAACGAGGATGCAACGCGAGAAGATTATCAGATCCTTCCCGTTTACGACCAAGAAGAGTTGTGTTCGTCCTGTGGTGGTTTCCCCGAATCCACAACGGACGACGAATCGACGAAGATGAAATCTCTCCCTTCTCAACTCGCGCAATGAGCCTATCCGGTAGAAGGACGAGCGGGAGGTCTTCCCTGGCTCACGCGAAAATGTCGGTAGAAGCAGTGCGAAACATCGCGGTAGTGATTCAATTTCGTGTTCTTATAATATCTTGCATCGATTCTCCGATTAGGTATGGACATGAATCGCGGGCTGCCAGTCTCCAGTCAATAACTACTCCTTTGCCTCTCTGCAACTTCACGCAAAGCTGATCCAGACGAATGGATATCCTGATGCTTGAAGGAGTAAATGAATATGAATCAATATATATATATATACAAAAGTATACTTGAGATTGCCGAGCTAGGGTTGGGGATGAAACCTCTGGGACCTGGCTCTACGGATAAATCCGAATAAATAAAGTTCCTCCGACCTGGAAAGTCAGCAGACCTTCTCAATGACGCATTCCACGAATCCATCGGTTCTGTTCTGGCATTCAGACACTGGGCCCTGGGGAGCTCTGACGTTCCGCGCAGGGGCGCGCACAGGATTTTTTAAGGGGGCCAATCGAGTTTCGGAGGGGGCCCGGTGACCGAAATGATGACACACGGTCACGGGGTCCATACTCTCGCAATAGAAGCGGAGGATTTTGGGGGAGGGGCATGGTCCTTTCCCCCCATCTCCTGTGCGCGCCTCTGGCTCCGCAAGCCCTCACTCGGCCAATTCCTAACTTCTCCCATCTTGAGGAATCGGAGCCCACTCTGGGATTCTGCTGCGTGTGTTATTCCTCCGGATTCCTTTTCGGAGGTTTTGCGATGAGGAGGATTGTTCCGGGAATCGGGCATGGAAATCATCTCGACGGCTAGCAGGCGAGTCTGGGAAGAGCGAATTCCCGCCCGGGGAACATCTTGTTCGGGAGAAATCCAATCTGAGCTCAATACGCCAATTCGCATCTATCACCCAGCATGTCTCAAAGAGGCTTGGGGAGAGAAACTCTCCCCACCAGTGAAGCGAATCTATGATGCGTCCAAGTTCATGTTGGTTCCGGTGCTTCCCACACCCTCCGGCGCGGCTCGAATCGAATGCGAAGTTAGGTCTACCATGTTTTTCGATGTCGGAGCATTTAGTCAGGAGTCAGGACTACCATCGAGACCTGAAGTCTCCTTGGACGGTACAGAGTGGCACGGAGCGCTTATTGCTACTACGTGTCGAAAGCCCCTCGAAAGAAGAACGACCTCTCAAAGATTCGGGCGCTCCCAAGAGACCCCTTGGGGAATGCCAAGGCCTCTATTACATCGCTCTCGGTGCAGAAGAAGGAGATGGCTGGTTCTCGTGCTACGCTGCTGTGTTTCTAAGAGAGTACAGACAAGAGCTCCAGCCGGAGAGATGCACTCTTCGTGAGGTCAGAAGTCGAGAGAGTTCAGCAGTTCGATCTACTCTCCCGTAGACAGAGTCCTTCGTTGCGCAGGTATACGAGGCGTTGATGACAACTGTCAAAGAACGGGAGTCTCGACTCTTCTCAGCATTAGGCCCTAGAGGGAAGGGATCTGCGACGAGTCCCTTTTAGGGCGACAGCTTTTTCCATACGCGACTGAATCTAGAACATCAGGGCGATCTGTCTGGTCCTCCCTGGGTGGGCAGATATTGACTGGACACGGAGTCGCCCCTCCATTACTTCGATGGTCTATTCTTCTAATTGGGACTGCTTGGAGCTTCACGGGATATCTTCTGACTTGATCGCCTGGCCAGTAATATCCGTGTTGCCATCTTTGACGGCCGCGGTAATTTTTCACGCAGAGTATCTATCCGAAATTATTCTTCGACACCTTGTAATGGAGAGCATGGGTAGCCAGCTCATCCGGCGATCGCTCCCAAAGAGATGAGAACTTGTCGGAATAAATCTCTGGAAGGGCCGTATCTATCTGGCGTGAATCTCGAGTACCTGCTCTCCGCGTCGCAATGTCTCCAGCAGCTGGCTTATTGTTTGAACGAATCGAGAGGTCTCAATCCAATCAAGATCGATGCTGCTAGATAGCTCGTTCTGACCGACTCTCCGCGCATGGACATCGAGGAATCGATAGCAGGGTCGCCGATTTCAAACCTCTTGAGGAACAGTTTCCGACGCGGACAGGTCCTGCGGGTCATGCCGAGCTCCTCGTCCTCATTCAAAAGGGGAACATATGCCCGCGGTGGAGCCATGACCAAGAGACATGTAGGGGAGAGTCCCCTTACTCCTCCATGTACGTATTACCAAAGATGGCTCAAGCTCCCAGTCTTTCGACTGAACGATTGCGAATCGAATAATAAGTCCGGATCCGGACGAGAGTCGGAGAGCATCGTCGCCCGAGAAAAAGCGCTTGGCCCGTGATACGACAAGCCTGCTATATAGCAACCTACTTCTCACCTTCGCGGGCGATATCGTCGGGGGCGCGAAAGGGCCGTATTTATTCCGGGTCCCTTGACGAAGACCTCTGGAGCCAGAAATATCGTCGTCTGCCAGACACAGAATACGGTTCGAGGAAATTTCGAGTAGTCTTGCGATCTGAATTTCAAGGAAAGATATGCTCGGGTGGAGTTACCCTCGATGATGTCGTCGAATCACCCTCGAGAGGGGGATGGCATGGGGGAGTGGTTACCTGGCAGCGTGCACAGGACGTTCGTATTGAGATTTTGGCTTGCTTCCGCCCCGAGCCCATTTAATTAAGCTTCGTCACTACTCTAATCCAAGTAGCTGAGAACAGCGTTTCTTCTAGTCGGATGCGCTCCCACTCTCCGCGTATACTTGAAGAGCTCGTGTGTTTCCGATGAGGCGGCTACGATTCGAAGTGCAAGAATTTCGGAAATACCGCTCCGTCGTAGTCGGGGTGACTCACCGTACATGACGCATTATTTTCGCTCAAATATCTAATGTATTTGTAGGAAAGTAGGAAACATGCACCTGTTATGATATTGCGCCTTTGCGAAATTGCCTTGCGAGCTCTCATTCCACGCGTCGTATTAAATGTTGTGATCGAGCCGACCAATCCATAGTCCTCCTTATGGGATCTCTGCAAGGAATCTATACGCATCGACCCCATCGGAACCGAAGCAGACGGCTACCAGCGAAAGCGACTGGGGGAGGGCGCAATCTGCAATAGGTGGATCCGATCTCCGCGAAACGATAATTCGAAGAATCCCTATCAGTGGAAATCTCTGTGTCCTTGTGGGATAATCGTACCGATCCCTGTCCGGAGAACAGGGTCATGACCATCATCTATCCGTATGTATTCTCGACAGCAAGGCAAAACCATTTCCCCATGTTTCACCACTTTTCTCTTATCAAGCAGCTCCACGATGAGCTTCTTAGCTCCCTCCCACTTTGACGAGAACTGTCTCGCTCGGATGTTTTGGGAGGGTCTCTGCTCGTGAATCAGGATTCCATGATATACATTCCTTCCTGCAGCATGCTTGAATTCTACGTCGCTGCGTGGGGAACGTCCTCTAAAGCAGCATAGAGTATAGAGCAGTCGGCGTATCCTCTGCCTGCATCCCTCCGGGCATTGTGGGAGTCTCTAGAATTCGAGCTGCTTTCCGTCGTACCTCGGATCGATCACAGGAGCTGATATGGTGGAGAGGATGCATATACGCGACCGGGCTTTCCGGCACGCGCCGTATCTGGCCATTGGCGTGCAGTATAGCGGAGGCATACTCCGCCGGATGATTGACCGTCGCAAGATCGACAACGGCGCGGCGTCTATGACCCAATGCTCGTAGAGGTATGTCCCAGCATCCTTGGGGGTCTCAACCATAATATTGTGTCGCCGATGCAAACTCTGGCATTTAGGGAGAAGAAGGGTCCTCCCCAGTTCTGCCGGGTGACTTTCGATTGTGGAATCGAGGGAGAACGTCATCAGCAGAAAATTTCCGCAGCTGGAATCTCGGGAGTTCTCAGAGAAAGTTCCAATGACGATTTTTCGTCAGAAGTCTGATGCAATCGCCGACTCGCGGTAGTATCTGAAAAGAAATGCAAGGATCGCAATAGATTCAGGCGAGTTTGCGCAAGAGAATAATGAATTCATAGTCAGACGTCTATTTAGAATGAGAGAAGGTCCGCAGAAAATCGACGCAACTCACGTTCGTCGTAACGGCGACCATGCAGCCAGAAAGGCTCTGTGGAGTCGAGTAGATTAGCAGCAAAAAACAGGGAGCAGCTCCGAAAAACAATTGCCACTCACGGTGGGATTCGAAATCGGAACTTAGATAATCGCTGCAATCATTCTGAAGATCTGAAAACGAACAGGTCAAAGAGTGTAGGTGGGAGGTTGTCCAATCGGGAATCAGGCAGCTGAACGTTGTGCGGAAAGTTTCCAAAGGATGGAAGCGACGAGCGGAAAATCGTATCAGGGCAGTTTTCTCGGTACGATCGGATATCGACGGGTTTTTGGCGCTGGGGGCATGGAACACTGTCAGGAATAGAATACATGACAAAGGGTTTGCAATCGAAAATCATGTGCCCGCCCGATGGAATGTGAATTTGCCGCGAACATGAAAACTCCCACGTATTTGCGCGGTCGTACTGTACCCAAGTGAAGACCCGATGCTGGCACCCACAAATGGGCATTTTTCCATACATATATTCGAATATATGTCGACTATGTGATGCGCGCCAATATCGTGTTGACAGAGGTTCTTGTCAATCCCCTCTGCTGATTGCGAGCCGGAGAATACTTCCATAATGACTAGTTGTTTTTCTACAAAACATATTTACACTACCGGACATTGGTGTCGCCGACGATCAGATCGTAAAGACATAAAAGCACTGAATGATCTTGCTTCCGCATCACTCGTCCCACAAGAAAGTCTGGGACACATTCACTCGACGTATTGGATTAGTCTCATACTTATGTTGTTGTAAGCGCACGTTAGAGAATCATATTCACTGCCGTTATTTCTCCTCGTCTGTTTCGACCTCGCCTTCAACTCGAAGAGAACACTCTCCACCGCTGCGAGATCCTGTTCAATTTCCTCTTCGCACAGTCTTATGAATTTTCCGTAGGCCTGATTGTTCTGGGGGAATGGGGTGCACATGAGGGTCTCGATTTTCTGCAAGTTCCTCTCTATCCGATCGATGTCTTTGAGGGCGATCTTGATAATCTCGGCCGTATCCGTTCCCCGGAAGCGAGGGAACCGAAGAGTCCAGAAACACCTCAACGGGCAGGAAATTTTCGATGACAACGACTGCTTGGCCATTTCCCTCTAAGAAGACGGGCCGATTGACATTTTCTTCTCTGGTCACAAGAGTAGGTCCTTTTCGAGCACACGTCGAGGTAACGGTGTATGTACTACCCCGTGGCTGGTTATGGGTATCCAGTCACAGACGGGATACAACAACGCGGCGATTCAAGTTTATGATACCTCGAGCGCGACGGCTCGCCGTCTCGCTCACATTTTGGCTAGCCACGGAGACCGCTTGGGAGCGCTATGGCCAATTCGCAGGGAGACTACGGAAATTTTGACGAACACCCTAATCCGTAAATACCCGGCGATTTCCTTCCCTGGGACGCGGATGCGAGATAGGGTCATGCCACTTCAATTACGATAATCCTGATAACCTCGTAGGGCGATCACGAATGGAGTTCCAATTACTCATCTAAACATCCGACTTAATTATGACTCCGAAACGGGCGAAGTTGGTCGGCTGGTCAGATGATATTTCGCCGTTGTTTCGAGCTCGTGTTGATGTAGCTGTTGTTTGAAATGGACCAGATGTCGCCTCGGGTAGGTGGCACGAGCGAGGATCAGGACGATGGCCAGGCATCTTCCGCGGTTACTGTGAGAACTCATCTACTTCTACGGTTGACGGAATCCGTTGAAGGACCCCGAATATACGCCGTCTCCCTTTGCAAAACAGATTAGTTCCGTGATTTACTTTACAATGTCTTTTCGCTTGGAATTCCTCGTTACGTTATCGCGGATACGGCTCAAATCACGCGAGACTTCGCTCATTCGAGTGCACCCGATCGCGCTTGAGTTGAGAAAATTTTGTCACGGCTCCATTTGATGCTGGGATTCCAGCTGTCACGGCTGTCATATTGGGAAGTCACGAGACCCGAGCGCCATAAATGATGCAAAGCACTGTTAACATCTCACGCAGACGATCATCCAATTATGGATTCTGTAGATATTCGATCTGAAAGTCTATGAGGCCTTCCACATTCGTCGATTTAATGATCGAATACTTGTCTGGAGACATCGATGCTGTCATAGCCGTTCGTCGAACATTCGATGGCGGCAGGGGCTGCGACCCATCTGAGCACTCGGAGCAGCGATCGGCGGATTTCCCTCTCCCGGCAAACTCAGGGTTTACCCTCTGAGGGAGTATCCTCGGAGACCTCTGCACATCTTGGTTCCTGTCCAACTCTGAGAGAGAACACGCATCGTCCTTCTCCGATTCCGTCGGTCGGTGGATCTAGGCGCCAGCCAGAGGAATATTCACATCACTGACCAAACGGAGCGAGGCCCGTAGCGTGGTCCCCCGTGATTTACGCATCAGACCCGGAAAAAGCAAATAATCGGAAACTCGCTGAATCGGAAACTCCCTCGACACGCTCGGAAAAGCTATCCGAGAAGTCTACAGCTCGACGGGGAAACAGAAGGATGAATACTGCATCTCACCCCGCAGCTTCGGGAGGTATCGGGCTCTGAAACCGGATTCGAGTCCGTCGGGCTGTATCCGGGAACGGTAGCATGTGACCTCTTCACAGATAGCTCTCAGAGAAAGGCTTTCGAAAGCGCGTGTGATCGAATCCTTGGCTTCGATCGATCGTCATACGACCAGACTGAGTTTTTCGCACTCCTGGGAGGCTGAGGGGCGCTGATTGTCAACTCGTCCGTATTATTATCGGAAGTATGACATTCCCAGCTCAATAGGGGGAAGAGCTAATTCGCTTCCGGTGATCCGTTCGGCGTGAAAAGACAGCGTTCACTTGCTAGGAGCCGTCTTTCCCCGAGTCAGACTCTTGGAATAGTTCTTTTTGGAGGCGCTCCAATCCTTTCTCCTGAGAGCACATACAGAGCGAGCCTTTGAACAGTGGGTCGAGGGCTCAGTTTTCGCCTGGATATCACTGTCTCGAGCCTTGCCTCACGATTGGGGTCGGCAAGAAAATTCGAATTAAATTTCTGCACTTGAAGTCTCCGGGTGTAGGAGCCAGATATCCGCGCGTATCCGTACGATGAGAAGCAGGAGAGTCCACCTTCGACTCGCGGGTTCTTCCTTAATCCGGTGGGGCCACATAAGGATCACGGCAAAATTCGCGGATATGTGATGGAAGCGCTCCCGTCGATGAGTAGGAAAAACAGGCAAATGGGCGAGTCTGGAATTTGCTCAACATGATGCTGTGAGCAAACCGCGTGGTCCTAGTTCCCTCTCCCCTCATGTTGAGTTCTCGAAAGGCTATAAGTTAGCATCATCCCGCGCGCTCTGGACAGCAGTTACAGACTGTGGAGCAGAGACGTCCAGAGCTATAAAGTGTCATCCACGGGGACTGGAAAACGATTCGGAAGCTGTTTGTTCATCGGTGAAACACTGATTCGGCTCAAGAAAGCGTGACGGGTGACGTTTGTGTTGTGTGTGGCAATTGGAGAAGGAATTCCCAACAGATTCGTCTCAGGGACATATACGGAATCAATCTGCATTGCCAATTTCCGAATTACGAGCTCGAATTCTGCTATCGACTGTTGGCGGTATCTGTCGAAATTTTTCCCCGGAACTGCCTTTCTCCTCTCAATCGCACGGTCAGACGGAGTGCCTGCGAGCTGAAGAGAGATCCGCAGGGAAGAAGTGAGTGGAGAACGAATTGAACGAAAACCCAAAACCTACAAAATCGATAGTACTTCAAAGGTGCTCCTCGGAAGAGTATTAGCTCTAGGATCCCTCCATCATTCGTACTCCGCTTCCAGATCGAGGTGCTCAATCGAGACTCATCTGCCGCGATGCACGGAGGACCAAGTTTTACCCCTACCTCAGCGACAGGTTAGTTCCACCGGCATGATAGCGACTCAATGGCTCTCAGCATAAAGAGAGTTAGGTAGGCAAGGGCGGCGTTTCTGCCACATTTATGATCTCTGTGAATATATCGCTCGTGTTTCACCGAGTTGCGCGACGCTCGAGATGTGACGCAGACTCGCGGGAGTTCCATCACCTCTTGCAACTGCGAGGATGCCGAGGTGACTCCGGCAGCCATCTAACTCCGGCATTCAGAGGATCTTCAGAGCCTCATTCCGTTCGGCCTATAGAGCTCAGTCTCGTCTTCCGAACTCTCCGGATAATTATGGAAATCCGGGAGCTAAAATTTTCATCAGCTGTTATTGCTTGAAACCTTGAATGTACCCGAATGTCTGTGTCGTTCCTGGCATTGATGGATCAGGAATAGTGGCGGATACAGGCAGGCCCGACGAGAGGGGGGAGTGCCGGGACCTTTTCCCCGGGCCCAGAGTTTCCAGAGGGGCACCCAGCTTAGTCTTTAGTCTAATGGTTTGGTCTGCGTCCTAAATCTCCCCCCTCTTCAAAAGATGCATGGAAAGGAAACTGCTGCTCCGACTCATTCGTTCCATCACTTTTCTAGTAACAGATCACAGACCATGATCGAGAGAAGTCCATGCCCGAATTTCCCCCGAGCCCAGAATTTCTCTCTGCGGCCCTGGATACAGGATCATCATTGCCTATTACCTGCTGCTCGGTCGCAGCAGTGAGTGTGCAGATGCCTCTGGCATGTCCAAGATCGATCTGCATTGCCGATTTCTTAATCGCCTGAGGTCTTCGGGGCTGACACCTGGAATCTCCACGGGACCGAATCAATGTCAGTTTCAAAGAAGAAAGACAAGCCACAAACTGTGCTAAACTATACGGTGTTTGTCGATATCTGGGTATCTCGCCAAGGGTGCGCACCCGTAGCGATCGCATGCTCTGCTCGCATGACTTCCAAATGATTCCGGTGACTCTCCCTTCCGAACATGAGCAATGAGAGGAAGCGACCCCCACTATGTGGACACTGTATATCGTCTTCCATTCAACGCGCTGTCCATATGAAAAGGAGCGACTACGTATCAATACTGCTCATAAGAACTCCTGCAGCGGACTCGACGCTCGCAGCGGCTTTCCGCCAGGAACATCACATCGGGTTCGAGAGCGCTCCCGACTTCTGACACATCTTTAGTTTTTCGCTGACGATCGAACAAACCACGGGAACAACACCGTAAATTGAGTTTTGCGTTGCGGACTTCTCCCGCCCTTCGCGAGTCGTCTGTTTTTAGCGACTCTCTCAAATAACATGGATCCCTTGATGAAACCTCCATACAGACATTCAGAAACATATGAGCTTGGTGGGATCCCGCGCAAAATTGGAAATAGCGAGCTATCCGCTTCGCTTCTGCATTCTACTCGCGTTCGAGGCGTACCCTTTCTCCCTCATCGGAACGTCGTCGTTCATAGCCCAGATGGTTGCGAGCGAGGCGTTTTGTTTCCCAGCCATCAAGAAATCCAGCAGCTGGGTTTCGACTAGGTCTGACAGGAGCTTGCTCGTCGACGGTACAGGACATGCACCTTCCCCGTACCTGATATGGCCGCGTATGCCACTGCAGGCTGGCAGTGCAAACTCGTTCCCACTATCAGTTCACGATGGAATGTTTTCCTCGCTGCTGTGTACATTTCGACCGATGAATACCCACTGATCGGAGTGGGATTATTCTGCCGCATATTCTGAAGAGCTCAAGAAGCGGGACTCCCTTTAGAATCCCTCCGAAAGTCTCGATGTCGCTCCAATGAGTCATTCCGCACAGGAATCTCGGAACTTCTGAGGGAGCGCTCCTCGTTGCGCGTTGCTCTCACGCAGCAGCAGCAGCAGCAGCAAGCTCATGGCGCTTATTTGAAGGAATGTAGGCGCAGCTCCTTTGCGGAGCTTAGCTACAGGACGTCTCGACAGGGTGCACACGCGCGCTCAGTCTTTCCGTGGGACTTGAGATTTCTGACAAACGTAGAGTATGACTCATGTTTGCCGCACTCCGTTGCATTCCGCGGTCTTGGCGGCCACCGACAGACAGAGGCTCACTTCTGTTCGAGAATATTCATCTGCTCCTTCTGAATGCATAAATCCGCTTGCAGGAAAATCATCAATGCTTCTTCACCCGAAACGACATATACGACATATAGGTAGTCCGCTCCTGAGATCATGGACAAAGACTGATAGATGCTGCATGTTCATCCGAAGAGGAGAAGTTCAGCATTCCCTCGTATCGCAGGATGCTGAGTCGGAAATCGCTAGGTGAATTGGTCGCGCTTCGTCTACACAAATGATCAAAACAGCGCCTGAGAAAATCTCCTCGAATCCGGCTCAGACTATCGCTTATTCGATTATGTATACTATCAATCCCTGTCATTACTATTCGTCCCTGGCGAGAATTTAGGAGGAGGAGACGACAGACTCGATGGACGGAGAATCGAATCGATCAGGTGACACATGTTGTCGCGAAACATTTTCCGAGACGAATATGGTCCGACCAGAGACTATAATTTTCCGGAGCACCGTCACATGCTGCGTCATCGGAACAGCCCTCCGGAAATCTACGAGGGATGAATCGATAGCTCGATCGACATTCCGATTCCCGCACGTCGCGGGAGCGAATATCAGTTTTGGGAGAATGATTCTATGTATATGCATCTGTTATCGATCGGTAGAACAAGACAATGACCCTCTCCGCGAGCTGACGACTCCTGAATCCCGAAACGTAGACCCGTAGACATCTCGACGAGTGTATTACCGGATCGCAGCGATATCCGTGACGCAGCATCAAAATCAGATAAGATGGGGCTTAGCAGCCCTTTCGAATGGCGCGCGTGTGATCGACTCGCGCGGAAGCCATCCATAGCTTCAGAGGCAGCTGATAAGCTGAGGCAATAGAGTTCATTATCCCGGGAAGGAGTCCAATCCGTGATTGGAAGCCGAAACGCTGAGAATTCCGGGCGAAGTATTTTGACAAGCTCGCTCGCGGACTACTCTCCATCCGCTGGTTGAAATGTTGTTTTTCCGATTTGACTCTACGTGTCTCCTCCCCTGGGCACCAAGGGTGATCCCTCTCCCTGATTACTTATCCTATGCCGTCGGCCGAGGCAGTGATTGACGCCCGTTGACTCTCGAATTTTTCCAAAAGATCGAGACTTGTATTGTTTGACAGGAATGTCTGTTGTGGACACATTCTTCCCTCCCCACTCTGCAGCGTCATAGTCACCTACATTTGATTACCAGCGGAGCGAACTGATAAGTGATTAGGGAAATGAGGGGAAATCAAGAGTCCCTAGTACGGAGAGACCCCGCTTTTCGTTCGGAGAACCGCTGCACGGGTGTTGTCGAGCTGCTCGTTTCAATTACGTCGAGGGAGTGAAGGAGCGCCAAAACCAGTGTTTTCTCGAGTGTTCCTCAATCGACGATAATGGGACTTCTGAAAGAGCTTTCTGAACGAAGTCCTCTGATTCCAGGCCCGGCGAATGTCCAGACCACCGTTTACCTCTACGTCGCGGCTCTGTTGTCTGCCGTTGGTGGTTTTCTCTTCGGATATGATACCGGTGTTGTATCGGGAGCTCTACTTCAGGTAAGGAGTTCTTCGACGCGAAGATCGGTCCGAGACCGAGGAGGAGCCCTCATCTGAAAATCTCATCAGCCCGTCGAAGGTCCCTAAGAATCGAACGATCCATTTCCAGCTCAGAGATCACTTCAAACTTGATCTGGTGTGGCAAGAGTGGGTGGTAGCGATAACAATCGCTGGAGCTTGGTTGTTCGCCATCCTAGCCGGTAAGCTCAACGACCTGTTAGGCCGCAAGTTCATCGTCATCATCGCGTCGAGTCTCTTCACTCTGGGCTCAGGATTGATGGCCGGTGCTCAGAGTCGCTGGTGGCTACTATCCGGTAGATTGATTGTCGGATTCGGAGTGGGTACGTGTCCGTTCTCAATATTGCGAAGCTTTTCCTCGTCGAATTCAGTCGGCTCTCTGATCTGAGCCGCAGCGAGGCATGTCAACGAGCGGCTCCAGCCCGAACGAACGCTCATAGTAAGCTCATGAACGTTCCAAGCTCCCGGCATCTTTCTCGACTAGGTGCGTGAGCCATCGCTGGCGGGGAGACGAGAACACGGGGAAGCGTCTTTTGCTTTGATTAAGGATAACAGCCCGCATACCATCGGGAAGAACTTCACGATCGCGTTTCTATTTCATCGACTTCTCCTACTCAATGGGATACGGGATATATCACTCGATTCCAGAATTATTGCGCACCTTGGAATCTGAGCGTCTCGCCAGACAGAATCTGTATCTTCGGATCGGCGAAGAGAGATTCGGAAATCTCGGAAAAATGCCTTCGCGGTCAGGGCCTAGCCCGCTCCGTTGAAGCAGCCCATACAGCCCCCGAGTAATCGTCTCAAAAATAAGGGCTCAGCTAAACGTCATTGCATTGCGGTCTGCGGCTCTGGAGCGACGTGACGCGTTGACCAGAGCTGCAGAGCCTTTTCGTATCACTCGTTCGCACCCTCCTAACCTAAACCTCCGTTCCCAAGGCTTGTCCTCGATGACCGTCCCGCTGTACATCGCAGAAGTTTCACCCATGCAATACCGGGGGAAGTTGGTCACTATCAACCAACTCTTCATCACTGCGGGACAATTTTGCGCAGCCGTCGTAGACGGAATATTCAGCACGGACCCTGACAATGGATGGAGGTAAATCCCGAGGCAAATGATCGAGCATGGGAGAAAGAGCGGGAGCAAGACGATTCCAATGCGAAAGTTGGAAACGTAATCGTAATTCATTTTCTAATTGTACAGGTTCATGCTTGGATTGGCAGCCGTCCCTGCCGTGTTTCAATTCACTGGCTTCCTCTGGATGCCTGAGTCGCCGCGTTGGTTGGCTGGTGGGTTCGCGTTCTGAAACGCCACGCAATCTCACTGAATTTGTTCAAGAAGCGAAAACTCAACGAACGTTCTCCCGTAGGCAAAGGACGCAACGATGAAGCTTATACAGTGTTACGCAAGCTGCGCGGTAAGAATGCTGACATCGAAGATGAATTCAATGCAATCAAAGCGAGCGGCAAGGAAGTCAACGCTGAAAAGTGTAAGTTGCAGCCGTTTCCATCTCTCGCCGAGAGAAATGCCTCGATTCAACGAGCGAATACGAAAGCGCTCGGGAGAATTTTCGATCGCACTCCAAGAAAACGGTGCGGCTTTTTACAGCGTGCGCGATCATCGAAGTTCTCGCGGACCCTTTCCTCCGGAAACGACTTCTCGTCGGAGTGATGTTCATGGTCTTCCAACAAATCATAGCCATAAACACCGTCAGTATCTGTCCTGAAGATTATCCGAATGCCCAGCGAGAAGTTTTCTATGCATTCCCTTAAAGTATCCTCGTCCGCTAGGTGATGTACTATTCGGCATCAATAATCGAGATGGCCGGCTTCCGGGATCAATCGCAGGCCATCTGGCTCAGCGCTGGAGTGGCTTTCATCAACTTTGCCTTCACCATAGTGGGCGTGCTCCTCGTTGAACGAGTCGGTCGACGAACACTTACGCTCTCTTCGCTTCTCGGTAAAGAATCCCCTTTCGTCCGTAACTAGCAATCCGAAGAATCCTTCGGGGCCCTCTCTTTATTCCGGGCGATTCCAAGCTGCCATGAGCGATCATGATATGACGAATTCGACTCGGTGAACATCTAAATTTGTCCCTCGAAGGCGTAATCTTCTCGCTCGGAGTGCTATCTGCCGCATTCTATGCTGGTAACATCAATTCCCCTGCGGTCACGTTCAACGTCTCGGACTCATCACCCTGCGACGTATATGAGTAGGTTCTGATTCAGGTTTTTGGATCCGGTGGTTAAGGTGACACGAATCGAGTTCTAAGGACAACATTCCGATCTCAGAACTTGCGGGACTTGCATCGCCGACAGTCTCTGCGCTTTCTACCACAACGCAGATAGCCTGAAAGCTGCCTGTGTCCTACGGCACGTCAATGAAACTGCCCAGCATCCTGTCGACTGGATCAAGGAAACGTCGATGTGCCCCGTACCGAATCATCTCGGCTGGATAACTTTGACAGGCCTCGGTCTCTATCTCGTGTTCTTCGCACCGGGTGAGAGCTCGCACAGTATACTCGAAAGGACTCGGCAATGATTCATGTACAGGGTTTGAGTTTATTCAAACGGAATATTCGAAACCATGAAATACGAATTATGGCCGAAGGAGAAACCCAAAGGAGGATGCCCGTCAGCAGATTAACCTAATAGATCGGGGCCGGCTGCTGAGTCGGCAGGAGCCCAAACCTCTTCTTGCAAAGTACTCGTTGTTCAGAGTACTTGTCGTCGGGTGAGAACCTTGCGGGATGCGCACTTTTCGTGGGTTTACCCTCTAAATCAGTCATCTTGAAGGTGTACACGCGCTCTCCTGAAATGAGATCAGAGATTAGAGGAAGTTCGAGGGGAAGCTCAGGGATCGACCACAAACAAATTCCTATCCGGATTCGTTGCCAGCTTCCGACCTTCGAAACGGCGACGAATGTAGATAAACGGAATTTCTCCCGAACCGGATCGCTCGATTCCATCCGCCACACTGGACATGACTTCTCTGTGGGATCGGGGAGCAGAAGCGAGAGAATCGACAAGTCTCAGACAGGCACGTTGTAGATGTTTATGCTGCGATCATCCGAAATGGAAGCGAGGCGGCTCCCGTTGGGGCTGTAAGCGATCCCCGTCACTTGTTGGGAGTGTGCGGTAAACGTGTGCAAGCAGTCTCGCGCTCCGATGTCCCAAACCTTAACCGTGTTGTCGGCGGAGCCTGTGGCGAACCGTTTGCCGTCGGGTGCGAACTTCACGTCCGCGACCCAGCTGCCGTGGCCGTAGAGCGTGGCTGCTAGATGGACATCGGTGCTCTGATCCAATCGGCGGACTTCATAGATCTTGATGTGTTTATCATCTGAAGCCGTAACGAGCATCGAGGAATCTGGAGAGAAAGCAATGCCTCGAACAGGCATCGCGTGGCCATCCAGAGTTGTCAGAAGTGCCGATGTTTGCAGGTCGTATATGTTCACAGGTCCATCGATTGACGCTGTCGCCAGATATTTCCCATTCGGGGAAAAGGTCAATGCCATGATGAACTTCCCGGTTGTGTCCAGGTCCCCCACCATCTTCCGACTCTCGACTTCGAAGAGATGGACTTTCCTCTGCTGAGTTCCCACGGCGATGAGCCGAGAATCCGGCGAGAAAGCCACTTTCCAAGCGTGGTGCTCATTAGACTCGATAACATTCGTCTCTTCGCCGGACTCCAAATCCCAAAACTTCACTGTAGCGTCCAACGCGCTGGATGCCAGAAGAGTGCCCTCCGCGTTAGCAGTGACTGAGTTCACTCCGAGACAATGACCCTCGAGAGTGTGTTTCAGTTCTAGTTGCCTATCCTCGTCCCAGACCCAAACTTTGACCGAATCATCGAGACTTCCGGTGATGAGTAGGTGCTCATTCGTTTTGACTGATCTGACCCAGGTGCATGCCCAGATCTCCTCCGTGTGAGCATCGCTTTTCGTCTGGAGCACAGAAAACGCCATGTCCGCTCTTGGATAATCGGCGCGATTCTGGGTGATCGGCAATTTCGCTAATTCGACTCGTCCTCGAATCCTTCCGAAAGCTCCGAGCAGATAATCGGGCGAACGAGCGGGTTCACAAGGTACCTAGAAAGCCGGGAGGATCCGTAAACGATTGATATAGTTCGAATCATTCCCGGCGGAGGACCTCAGTGTAAGGGAAGGCGAAGCAATGGAACTATCGCGCCTCGTGTGTCGGGGGTACTGATTGAGCGGGGAATTCTCCGCGAGGATCATCATCAATGAGGCGCGGGACCGGCGATCGATCGCTCATGGGAACTTCCCGGTGCACGTGCTTTTGTGCTGGCGGCATGAGGCGGACGGAATCGTCAACAGCCATCGAAACAGAAACATGTCGATTATCGGGCTAAGAGCCGGGGAAACTCGTAGCTCCCAGACCTAGGAACTCACCGGCGGCGTCGAGGTAGTAACGAAGACGCATGGTTCTAGTATTCTTGCAATGAAGAGTCGGTGATATTGCACGCGGACACACTGGTCTGCCTCGAGTGTTTGTATTGGTCGGAAAGCAGCCGACGCGCTCCGGGCGCAGCCGCAGTCGGGTTAGGGAGAGGGGTTTCTCAGCAGAAGACGGGATTTCAAGGACTGCCGCCAAATTTCGAGATCTAAAGTTCTCGTTCCGTCGGGCAAGCTTCACTCTGGACCCGTTTCCCAGCGAGGATCCCTGCGCGACTCCTACTCAACGATCGCTGTAGATAGAGAGCGTCGAGCTCACTCTGGTCAGTGAATGTGAGCCGCTCCCCGAGGGACAGCGCAGTCTCCCATCTCATGGGGAGATGGGGAGGAATTGCCAAACTCTTCCATGTGATATTATGATCGGATCAACTTGCAGACAATTACACTATTATTTATTTCCCCGGAGCGGACTCGGTGTCAGAGGACAGGCGTGTGTCCAGTTGAATGATGAATTCTAAGCCCAGTCTGACATTTCTCAATGCAGAAGGGAGAATTGGAGTGCTCGAAGCCACTTCTAGCATTTTATTCTCCATGGCGCGCCTCAGGCTTGTGAATCCAATTGCGAGAGGGCATTCCAAGTCTTTTCCTTTCGCCTTCGCGGAAGCACCCCGACAGTGACCAACCGGCTTCCTCGTCCCCTCTGATGTTCAGCTCGACCAAACAAAGACTCGTCACAGATTTTCGCAAACTCCTTGTTCGAGTTACTCTCCTGAAAACGGCTGCAGCTCTGCCGGTGGCTTTCGAGAAGAATCGGAAAGAATCTGCGAAAAGACAATGGAATTATACTTCTTTATTCCAGGAATGGGTCCCATGCCTTGGACCGTAAACAGCGAATTGTACCCGCTGTGGTGCCGCTCCACATGCTTCTCAATCGCGACATCCTTCAATTGGCTCTTCAATTTCTTAGTCGCGATGACGTTCCTGTCCCTCACTGAAGCTCTCACACAGCAGGGTGAGTTCGCGTAGCTGGGGACACCCAACGAAGGGGAGATGCCTGATGACGATGGGAGTGATAAATGTCTAACAATTCCCCTGACTTTCAGGAGCCTTCTTGCTCTATGCTGTCTGTGCCGTTGCCGGATTCATTTTCTTCTACTTCATGCAGCCTGAGACGAAGAACACTTCCTTGGAAGACGTGAAAGCACGTTCGAACCAGGCGGTCACGATATCCCGACATTGAGGCGCTCCGCTATCCATTCCTTCCATCGGTTTCGGAATATCCTCTCGCTTATTCTGAACGTTGACTATGATCGTTGACATTCTACCGGGGTGCTGTCTTCTCCTTCGAGCCGAGACACATCTTAAGAGAGCTTTGTCTCTGATGCTCAATCGCATGAAATTTCCATAGATCTTGTGCTAGGCGAACTATAATTTAAGATATTTATACAGAGCGCTGTGAGAAGTTCTGTGATGCCCATCGATTCCTCGATGCTCTTTTTCTAAGAGGTCGTGCCATCAGCCATGTTGATCCGCATTATATTTTTGTATATATCGATCTGAGTGATATATGGGTCAAATTTGATGTCCATAAACATGACTTACCGGGATTCCTCGGTCGTCTTCCCTAGGTCTATCAGATTTTTTGATCGGTCGTTCCATGCAGTCCCTTTCCCTCTGCTTATCGGAGTCAGTGTGGCCGAGACTCGTCCGTATGCATTCAATATCATTACGTTGAGGAAGATCGCCGTTAGACTTTCACTTTACTTTTCCCCGTGTCCTTTCCTCCCTTTTACCTTCGATAAACTAGGGAGAGTCGCCGGTGAGAGGCGCACTAGATGCCGTGCCGACTCGGGGATTCTGGATGGATTCAGATTTAGGATGGACAGCGAGCGATGAAAGCTACGAGAATCTCATCGCGAAGCACCTGGGAAGCAAGTCCATCCGTGCTTTCCCATGTGATTCAGATTGTACATCATCACTTCGCCCGAAAATCAGATTCCACCGATAAATTATTCAAATGATTATCATCGGCTTCCCACTCGAAAAGGTTGGGATAGATCAGAGTGCCCAATATCAAATGAGTTTTTTATTTTCGTCGCTATTCTAAGCTTGCTATCTTTTCGAGACGACGCTCGTCGCTCATATTCGATGCCGCTGTACGGCGCTCGCGGGGAGGGCTCAGAATGTCGAGTGGAACGAGTCCTGACTAGTCTTCGAAACGCAGTGGAGCACCGGCTGTTCTGTTCTTCGTTTCTGGCAGATGTGAGCTCTGTGACTCTTCTTTGTGCGGAATGTCTTTCTGCAAACACAGCACCGTATGCGACCTGTTGTGATGAATGAATGCTCCTGGAAAGGAAGTATTCGCGAAGGCCTCATTGAGAAGTAATGAACCTTCCGCGCACTCATAAAGTCGGAGCGATCGCCCAGGACCTTGCATACGGAGCTCCCGAGCCTCGCTTGAACGCCACGGAATCACGTGGAATTACTGAGAACTCAGATCTCCTTCTCACCTCGACTTCGTGCTTCCGAACGACGTCTTTATGCTGAAATGTTTTTCGACAGAATGCACATGACAACCTAGCCCTTCTTTCGATGGTTTGCAATAGAAGATTTTGCAGAACGTGTTCTCGTTGACTTTCTTCGAGTAGAAATCGCTCGCCGCACCATCCGCATTGGAAGTCCTGAGCTCCTTCGTGGACATTCCTAAAAAGTCAATGTTCGAAGATATGTCAAGGGCTTTATGGATGGGACCCGACTCAGTCGAAAATGGTTGTTTACTATTCATACAAGCATGTGGAATTCATCGAACCTCATGTGCGCTTTGAGGAGAACTCCCGAAGTTGACGAATAGCTGCATCGATTGCAATGATGCTTATCGGTCGAATGTTCCACCTCGGTATGGATAGCGAGACTGACGGGCTCGAAAAATCCTGCTTCACATGAGGAACATCGATGAGGGAACTTCGAAACCATCAGCTTGTGCTTGGACGATCTCAGATGCTCTGCAGGGACACAACTCGGTCATTCACCAGGTCGTTATGACGAATACGACGAAGACAGGCTTCCGCAAATTCGATTCATCATCATTTTCCATCATATTCCGAACGCTGTACACCTTCGACTCCCTGTGGAAGCTCGTACAGATGGCAGAGCGAACACCAGAATATGTCCGTGACGTTTGTTTCCTCGGAGTGTGATCTCATGTGTTTCTTCAGATACTGCTTCGATTTTGTGGAATAAGAGCAATGAGCACACGTGAAAGCCACATTGGAATGTTGCAACAAATGCTTCTTGAGGTTGGAGGCCGAGTTGGAGGCATAACTGCAGAAGTCGCAGACATGGGGTCGCTCATTTGAGTGAATTCTCTGGAAACGTTCATTCAATTGCCAACTGAAAAATTACTGAGATTCGATATTCGAGCATAAATCTACGTGATAGTCGAGCAGAGGCCATCGTACTCACCTGGTGCACTTTCGCGTTCGTATGATTCTTGCTCCGATACTCACAGTACTTGCAATGGTAAAATGTTTTACCGTCAGAATCTACTTGAACTAGGAGTAGTTTCGACGGTTTCATTGTGAAGTATAAAACGGTCCAATACACATCGCCGGCTTCAAAACATTTTCATAACGGAGACCAAACTCGTGCAAGGATTCGCTGCAAACGCACGCGCACATGATGGTTCGGAGCCAGCACCACAACGATGAGGTATCGGGTTGCTCTCAGCCAGTGAGCACTGCGACGGAGCGACCCAAATGAAGTCGTTGAGGCCAGCTGTCATCGGGGAGCTCGGCTGTCGGAGTACATGGGACAGAATCCGAGGGGGACAAATCTGAGCGAGGAGGGGGAAGAGCTGTCGCTCGTCGGCATCGGCTCTGCTCACGATGCCGCTGCTGTTGCTGCTGCTTCTCTGTGTCTTCATGAGCTCCAGCGAGGAGAGAAGGCTGAATCCATCGGCCTCGTTGAGAATCATATTGAGTCATCATCACATTTTGCGATGACAGAGGGCTCATCCGAAGAATGCATCCCAGGAGAGAATCCTCGGAGGATTTCATGTTGGATCCGATTGAGGCCATCGAGAATTCTCGAATTCAATTGACGTCGCTCCAGAAAACCGGATGAGGCGACCGACCTCGAGCAGCAGCGCGACCCGGCCGCATCTACAACAACGGTGGATTGCCCCGCAAGAGCGATGAGGGATTCGGATTCTCTCGGGATGTTCCCAGTCCCCTCGGGAAACTCACGTCGACACAATGACCCGAAATAGAGAATGTTTTGAGAGGAGCCTCATTCAATGTGAATATGTTCGAGGAAGAAAATTGTCACAGGACACGCTTTCCGCTGCTCAACGCGCGAGAACGACCGGGATCGAGATTGCGGTCGCTTCCCTTGACCGTGAAACTTTACGGCTGGTAGGGAGCGTCTGGTAAGCTGCCTCTGAAACCTTCTAGACCTTCCCTCGGAGTTCCCTGTCTATTTGGATCACTTAATATCCGCAAAGAGCTTCCGCAATGTTCGTGCAGTCCGTTCATTTGAGACGGAGGCATGGCCCGAGTCCCTGGATCTCCCTGGAACATCGCTCGAGGAACACAGAAATGCGACTCCCGAGGAGATCGAGCCTTTTATTTCCATTTCACTGTACTGAATAAATAATCAATATTCTTGGACATGCTGGCTATCTCAGAACATCGCTCTTCTTCCGCGCGCTGTGAACCGCATCGTGAATGGCGGATTTCACCGCGTATTTCTCCAACACGAAGAGTCCCTCCGAAGTCGTCCCGCCGGGAGAGGTGACGTAGTCTTTGAGTTCAGTCGGACTCCGTCCACTGTCGTGGATAAGTCGAGCTGCGCCCTTCAAAGTCATTTTTGTTTTAGGGAGCCATCATTGGGGCTGAAGATCTTTTGCGGACCGCCTCCTCCCGCGACTTTCCGCGGAAATTTCCGGCTGCTCCTCGTAGAGTTTCAATGGGGGCCGCGAATTCGGCGGAACCTTGTTGCGAAAAATCTTCAGCCCTAGCCATCATTCACGAAACGATCCTTGAGCTTCACCAGAAGACTTCAATTTTCATGTTCCACCAACCTGGACAGTTTGCGTAGCCAATCGGAGAGCAACTTCTCTGGAAAACCCTTGTCGGACTCCTGCGTCTACCAGAGCCTCGATGATGTAAAGAACATAAGCGGTACCACTCCCGCTGAGCGCAGTCGCTGCATCCATGAGCTTTTCATCGAGTATTCGCTGGCAAATCGGTGATATTGGTGCGAACACTGCTTGCGTGATCTGACCTAACTCGTTCGATTCGCCTCGGGTGTAGTACACAGTGGCTCCTTCGCGAACTTCGCAGGCTATGTTGGGCATCACACGCACTATATTCGTGCCCGCAGGAAGCGCCTGGGAATGTCGAGCAACAACTCTCCATGAGAAGTTTCGTCTCAGAGAAGATCCTCGATAGATCCAGAATAAGGAAGAAAATCGCCAGAATACCTCCTCGAAAGTGGAAACCGTCACGCCGGCAGCGATGGACATCACCACATGCTTTTTCGGGTCAATCTTTGGACAGATTTCATCTAGCACCGATCTGACAACATCGGGTTTGACCGCTATTATGATTAAATCACTGTTTTCCACAGTCTCCAGATTATTCGTTGTAGAACGACAATCATCGGGCAGCGCTCGCAGGAGCTCTTCTCGCGGACAGGAAGCCATTACTTTGATGGATTTGTCTCTCGAGAGCTCTGCCGCTGGAATGGGAACTCGGATCCCTTGCGCAATGGGTCGCGAGCATTCATGGATAAACCGAATGATCCACAAAAACACGGTCAACATAAGAAACCCACAAACCTCGGTTCGTGCTCAAGATGCCGTTGGCAATCGCTTTCGCCATTTTTCCGGCTCCAATAAGTCCAACGCTCCGCATCCGTGGGAGCGACTGCATCTCGCTGAGCTCGCAGGGGGATCCTGCGTTCTCGCTGTCCGCCACGCGACGGATAGTTCTCGAGAGGGGACTGAAATTTCCTTCGATCGCACGCCGCGATTTTCAAGAGGGGAAAGTTGCCGAGATTCTCCCGGGTGCTTTGCGTTATCTGTTGACAAAGCTAGCCTCTTTCTTGATTACTCAGAGTCGAATGACGATATCATCCCGTCCCATGACTTGCCTACTCTCACCACGAATCTGTTTTCTGGAGATCCCTCTTCTTTTCAATGCGATATTCATTCCCTTGCCAGATGTAGGGAGGGAGCGGGTTTTCCCTGGAAGAGGGGAACAAGTTATCGAGCGTGTGCTCAAAAGCCATTGTTATAGGTCATAGCATTCGGAAGCTCCGTGATCATGTCATCGACTCCGCGAGATGCGAAGATCTCTCCATCAGTGTGAGTGCAAACTTGTCCATCGTTGCACCACGAAACGGCAGCGGACCATCGATGTAGGCAGGAGAGCCTCATGGCGATTGAGGACCGCTCAAGGGAGGCGTGAATAATCCGAGGAATATCTAAGACATCGAAGTGATTCATGAAAGCCGATTCGCCCGCATGAGCTTAGCTCATATTCCTGAAGCACTTGGATAATCTCTGTCTCAAGACAATCGGCCCGATGGAGGTCGAGAGAGCTTTCCGAATCGGGATATCTGAACTCGCTCAACAGGTAAAAACCAGAACAATCCAGCGGAGCTTCGGAATCAGAATTCTCGTCCACCGTCGGCACTCCGCGGCTTAGCGAAAAGGACTATCGACAGCATTGCCTGTCGCGATCTCCCGGAAGGCTGACCGATCGGGGCCGAGAAACCGCCGGCACTCTTTAAACGGATATACATATTTTCCCGATGGAGCTTTCCGCAATTTGGGACTCCGGAGGAAGAGGAGAGCGTCGCAGGAAAGGAAGACCGTTTTGATAACTCGGGTCGAAAGAGGGTGCATTCCCGTGTCCCGAACTTGCTTCCAGCCAGAAGAGGTCGTGTCTCATACTTCGAGGGAAGACTTCGCGGCTGTCCCGGAGTAGCTGCTCAGCGTCCGCCCTCCTTCGATGCCGTCGGAAAGAGCAAAATCGCCCCAGAGGGCTCTATACTGCAGGGCTTCCTAGCCTAAAACGGAGCGCGGAACATCACTGCTCGGACAATCTTTTGCGAAGAATGTGGAACGCCTTCGCAATGATTAAAAGGTTCTCCTCGGAGATGAAAACTCCACCTCCACCACTCAGCGCTTCCGCCCATATCTTCGCGCAGGACAGGACCGCAATGCTCCACGACGTCTTGCCTGGCGACCGAATCGAAACACAGACGGATACCACAGATTCTCGCGTCAACAGCCAGACTCGAGCTCATCTCAACGCCAGGCCAGCAGCAACGCTGCCGATTCCACTCCCGCTCAAACCAAGAGGATCTGGTCATTTACGCTTTCCGCGCACGATTTCATCTTGTTTCCGGCCCAAGACGCAGTATTGATCCGAATTCATGCAGGTTCCTCGCGGACCAAGCCCCGCGGCGGCTCCGGACCCCGACAACCTAATTGGCTGCTGGTCGAGTCTATCTGAAACACACGGTTCAATTCAATCTATTATACGACGCACAAAGCTCTGTGTGACACGATGTGTGATATGGTCTCAATACCTCGGCAATCGACCGATTCCCACTTAATCCTTGACCGATTCCCGTCATCTACGACCACAAGTCAACGCTTAACGCTGGCTCCATGTGGTCCGCCAACGATCTCGTCTTCATTGAGTATCTGCGCCCATAAGTCATCCAAGTTCTCGAGCCGAGCTCATAACCTCATAGCTGATGAATAATATGTGAGCCGAACTATTCAAATACAGACAGACTGACGGCTCTGTAATAAACTCTACCTTATCCCACGCATCCATCCACGTGTCTCCATCAATCCAGTTCCCGAATCTGAGTACCTTCCCTTCGCTGGGGGCAGCGACATAGAATCTTCAGCTTCTCGCCGCGCGTCATCCAACGTCGAACGGGTTGCCGTTATCGAGACGACCAATCCCTCGCTCTCAACTTTTCTTTAGAGCCCGCCCGCTCGCTACCGGATCACCATCGCTGTCTGCCCTCGGTGGACGATTTCACTCTCCTCATGGGATTTCAGTCAAGTCTTCCCACTAGTCTGGGGAATTCTCAGCCCTGGGATCAGTACTTGCTCTTGATCATTCCGGAGCTCATAAGAAGTCTCCTTTCATGGAATTCAGACCCTACGATCCCGGTTCATTCAACCATCTTTGTTTCCGATGGTCTGTTCTCCAAGGCCTCTCGGCTCATACATAATATGTGGCGGGTTCTCGTTCTCGGCTGTATAAGGAAAAGTATGATGATCCTGTCTATCGAAGAGCTCCATGACGGGCGATGGCATCCGAAACAGTCCGCCAAGTCTCGATCCACATCTCCAGCGTCCCACGGCGATGGGTCTGCCGTTCTGATTCCCTACAGATTATTTCGCCGGCATGCGGACCCCGAGCCGGTCACCGAAATGGATCAATCCGGCATCGGGCGAGCAATATGGTTTGGATTGCGACCGCGAAGAAAGATGGCGGCCGGAGAGATGGTTTCACGCTCCGTCATCTCGTGAGGCTCGTGAGTCGTTGAGCGAGGAGCCCGCTGTGTCGCGCGCTACCCCGGAGCCGCTTCGAGGGTCTGTGATCCGACGCGACACAAACAGTAGAACGAGCAATTATTATGTTCCCGAAGAGGAGAAAATCGCGGGAAAACGAAGAGAGCTATAGCGGAGCAGCCGGGCACGGAGAAGAGCTTGTGATGGGCCCATTCGAGATCAAAGAAGAACGTGAGTTATCGCTGCACAAAGTTTCTTCTCATCTTTATCAGAGAGAGTCGTCCTGCCGAACTATGAATGAAGAATCCGAGATTCTCACTTTCATTCTCCATCTCACGGAGTTCGGGAAAAATTCACTATTCTAGACCGCTTCCTGAGGCGATAGCATTCACCGACGACACATATGATTCCTAAGCGCTGCGCATGCTTAAAAAGTCAGTCGCCTTCCAGCTCCATCTGCAGGAGTCACCAAGTGGGTACTGAACAATGACTTCTCAAGATCTGGGATGGGAGGACAGCGCTCCGATCGGGTAAGGCGAATTTCAGAAATGATGATGATGATGCGTCTCATTCGGGAGCTTGTCGTATGTCGATGCGCTTTCAACGCGCTGGTCGTGCACGCCTGTGGGCAGAGTCCACTCGATAGAGCTTTTGAATGCAGCCTCATTGTCTTTTCAGAGTGCGGACCTCGTGGACTACACGATGAGCGCTCCCTCCGCCTCAGGTTCACTTCCTGCGAGAAGCGTGAGTTCTCCCTAATCAGGAAAATCAATGAGCAGTGGATTCCATGTGATGAAAGGCGGCTCTCTTGAACGATTCGAATCGCGCGAAAGAGCGCCTGGTAAAATTTTCGCGTATGACCACATATGTGTATATATGATATAGCGCTTTGATTCTCGGTGAGAGGACCACTGAGATGACTTTTTTATGGTGGAAGGACCCATCACATCAGAACGACGACTCTCATATGACTTTCCTGAAGCTCCCGAGAACCCACCCCTGAATTTTTGCGGCGATCGGTTCAAGCGTTGGGTTGTTCCGCGAATTTCCGATTTTTCAATTTTTTTCTGAATTTTCGTATTTTCGTGGGTGGAGCACTCGAATAATTTTCTGCCTCACAAATATCAGTTGCCCTCGACTTATCCCCCTCTGCCGTTCTAACAGAGCACGGTTCACAAAAAGCGCTCGCGGCGCTCATCGTGGTATCCGTGACGATCAGATCTAGTTCGCTTCGTGTGCGGCATGGGATGAAATCCGCGCAACGAGCGGTGAAACTAACAGATCGGCTCCAGTCCAGCGAGAGCCAGATGTGGAGCATAGGAAGTGCTTCAAGGTCTGAAGTGCAGAGATTTTTTCCCGGAATCGTGCGAATTGAGGATGTTTGCAGCCCGCCGAACCTTCTTGGACTTAGGAATAGCCCGCGAGACCCTCGAAGCTGTGCGCCCGTGTAACAGCAACAGCGCATGCCGTTCTATTCTTCAGACGCTCGTATGGGTGCCGTTCTATTAGAGCACGCCGGTAATAACTGGAGCCCGTAAATCATCTGGCGGGGTTTAATATGCGGTCTTTTTCCAGACGAGAAGGAGGATGATTGATGACCTCATGGAAGTCAGCAAAATTCTCGGAGCCGCTAAGGCGCATCTTTCCCGAGAGGTAAGCTTCCCTTTGCCCTTCGATTCTGCTGGAATTTCAGACGAGGCGAATTGAAGAGAGCCGTCGAACGAAGCCGTGTCCTCTATATGTTCACCAGCCTCCTCGTTCGACTATTTGTAAGACAGTGCTCCTGCAAGAGCTGAATTTCGGGTCACGGGGCCCCGATCTTAAATCGGATGGATCCTTCTGGTGATGCTATGATGTATGTGTCAGTTGAAGTGGGTTCAACTGTGACATTTTTCCTCAAAACCGTGACCAAATGTCTTGAGTTCACTCGCCCCCTTGGAATAAAGTCATTGTTGGCCGAAGAAAGTCAACAATCCATGCATCAATCCAGTCTGTCCCAAGGAACGGCTGCGAAGTTCCGCGCTCCCGGGCAATAATCTCTCCCACCCAGAGACTCTCGAAGATATCATCCCTACTTTTCTAGCGGGAAAAAAACGCCAAGCTCACGGAGGAGAACGCTCGGCTGGCGGAAGAAAATGCCAAACTGACGGCAGAAAACGCCGAGGTCAGGGATGAAAACGAGATGCTCAAGGCGGAATTGAAGGAAAAAGACGCAGAAATAGACAAACTGGTGAGTAAGTCCCTGATCTCTATTTCTCCTCGCGGTCTGGTGCTGGTCCCTCGAAATTAGGGTGGAATTCAACGCCCCCCCCCCCTTTCGCCCCTTTGCGCCCTTGCTCTCTTATGTTCGACTTCGTTCAGTAACTGATTCCTCTTCCAGTGAGTTCGGCTGCGAGTGATCCAAACAGGCATCTCAGTGTCGTGAGTC